TGAACCTCTGGATGGGGGATAGAGATATATTAGTGTGAACCACTGAACAGGGTGAAAGAGTGATATCAGAGGGAATTATTGGATGGGGGAGAGTGATATTTGTGAATGGGATTGGAGAGTGATATTAGTGTGAACCACTGAACAGGGTGAGAGTGTGATATTAGTGTGAATTACTGGTTCGGGGGAGAGTGATATTAGTGTGAACCACTGGATGGGGGAGAGAGTGATATTAGTTTGGACTACTGGACGGGGGAGAATGATGTTAGTGTGAACCGCTGGATGGGGAGAGAGTGATATTAGTGTGAACTACTGGTTGGGGAGAGTGATAGTGATGTGGGTGAGAGAGTGATATTATTGTGAACCGCTGGATGGGGGAGAGTGGGTGACTGGTTCGGGGAGATATATTAGTGTTAACCTGGATGGATGAACCTCTGGGGAGAGAGTGATGTCAGTGTGGGTGTCTTCCCATTACGCAGACAGCCAGTTCGCAGACACCTTGAAACAACAACATTTACGGTTCAGTGAACAGATTATCTGCTACCTGTTACCTACACATTATAACAGAATAGTCCAAATAATAACACAGGAACAAACTGAAGCTATATTATTTATTTGGAAAGATGGACGAAAAGACAGTAATTTGAATTATTTTGCGGCAATATAAAAACAGTTTATTTTTATAAACATTTCGGTTTAACCTTCTAGTCTAACGGGAGTCGGCTTCATCATATTGAAAACATTAGCTTAGCTATTAGAAATTGCGACCGTGTTGTATCATATAAATCAAATAAAGACAAATGTGAACCTAAATATTATTCATATGGAACATAGCAGTTATATGCTTTGCACACAATATTAAGATATATGACGAGTGCACTTAATTACGATTTATTTAGAATCAATATTTAAAATATGACGCATCATGTCAATGTGGCCATGGGTGTGAGAATGTTTTTCATTTCTTCCTTGAATGTCCGTTGTATACTACTCAAAGACATAAACTGTTACAATCTTTAGAAAGGACTGTTGAAATTAGAACACCGATTGGTATTAATCGTATCTTACATGGCAATGCAGGTGTCTCAATTACTGCAAATCAGAGTGTTTTCAAATATGTACATATCTGTATCTCTCCAACAAAACGTTTTCTCAGTTAACTTCTGTTGTACATATGCTATTATTGGGATGGGTCTTTTCTATCAATAAACACAATCAAAACTCTCAGTGACAAACCTGTGTTTACATTCCATAGTAATTGATAGAAAAATCAATTTTGAGAAGATAAATCATTTATCATTTAATCACAACAAAGTTCTATTTACCTACAATCAAACTTGTCAGTAACGAACCTGCTGCAGGCTAACCCTGCTCTACTCACTAGAGAGTGGACTGTTCCATTATACCCGTAGGTGTTACCCTAATTAACCTTCTAGTTCAGTGTCTGTCAATTGGGTGTCTGTCAAATGGGAGATAACCTTAGTGTGAACTACTGGGTAGGGGGAGAGTGATATTAATGTGAACTACTGGATCGGGGGCGAGTGATATTAGTGTGAACCACTGGATGGGGAGGGAGAGAGATATTTGTGTGAACCACTGAACAGGATGAGAGAGTGATATTAGTGTAAACCACTGGATGGGGGGAGAGAGATATTTGTGTGAATCACTGAACAGGATGAGAGAGTGATATTAGTGTAAACCACTGGATGGGGGGAGAGAGATATTTGTGTGAATCACTGAACAGGATGAGAGGGTATTATTAGTGTGAATTATTGTATGGGAGAGAGAGTGGTATCAGTGTGAACAACTGAACAGGGTGAGAGGATATTAGTGTAAACCACTGGATGGGGAAGTGAGATATATTAGTGTAAACTACTGGATGGGGAGAGAGAGTGAATCACTGAACAGGATGAGAGGGTGATATTAGTGTAAAACCACTGGAACAGGATGAGGATAGTGAACAGGATGAGAGGGTGATATTGTGTAAACCACTGGATGGGGAGAGAGAGATATTTGTGTGAATCACTGAACAGGATGAGAGAGTGATATAAGTGTAAACCACTGTGATGGGGGAGAGAGATATTTGTGTGAATCTACTGAACAGGATGAGAGGGTGATATTAGTGTAAACCACTGGATGGGGAGAGAGATATTTGTGTGAATCACTGAACAGGATGAGAGGGTGATATTAGTGTGAACCACTGGATGGGGAGAGAGATATTAGTGTGAATCACTGAACAGGATGGAGGGTGATATTAGTGTAAACCACTGGAGAGAGTGATATAAGTGTGAACTGAACAGGATGAGGGTGAGAGATGATATTAGTGTGAATCACTGGACAGGATGAGAGGTGATATTAGTGTGAACCACTGGATGGGGGGAGAGAGAGTGATATTAGGTGTGAGTGATATTAGTGTAAACCACTGGATGGGAGAGAGTGATATTAGTGTGAACCACTGGACAGGATGTGAGATGATATTAGTGTAAACTACTGGATGGGGAGGAGAGAGTGATATTAGTGTGAACCACTGGACAGGATGAGAGAGTGATATAAGTGTGAACTACTTGATGGGGGGAGAGAGTGATATTAGTGTGAACCACTGTATGTGGCTGGTGGGGGGAGTGGTGAGGGTTGAGGGTTGAGTTGGGCTTTACGTCACATCGGCATTATTCCAGCCATATAGTGACGAGAACAAGTTTGCATTAGTAAACATTGTAAGTACATACTCGGTATGAGTTTTATTTCAAAGACATTTATTGATTACATTGTCATTCAAAAGCAGAAAAAGTCATAGTATCAAATTTAAAGGCAGGCGGTTTGTTACATTTCATAGTTACAATTTATGGTTGTTACATTTAACAGTAACAATTTATGATACAGATCAACTTCCCTCAGGTAGTTCAGTATCAGATGGGCGCTCACGCGTGAGAACAGATCTTTTAGGTTTGTTGCATCAAAATGTGAGTCCCTTGCAGCCGATAAGTCCACGCATTCAAGCAGAATATGCTTGACGGTGAACACCTCATCGCAAGAGACACACATGGAGGGTCCATCCCCATCCGATTTCAGCAGATAGTCATGTGTAAATCGACTGTGGCTAATACGACATCGACATCGTCGTAAAATTACCTCATCGCGTCTTGACTGACAACCCAAGTAGGTATAACCGATTGTTGGCTTCAATTCATGGAGTTTGTTTCTTCCTACTTGAGTGTCCCACCTTTTTTGCATCAGGTCCCGAGTATAGCTTTTGATAGTGGGTTTGAAGTCACTGTACGGGATTAGCAGTGCAGATAGGGGCTTTTCGAGAGCTGCTTTTGCTGCAGCATCGGCCTTAGTGTTACCTGCTATGCCGACGTGACCCGGCAACCAGCAGAGGATGATGTCATATTGGCCAGTAGAAAGGTCGTTGTACAGTTCTAATATGTCCAGGATGATTGGGAGACAGGGAGACAGTGTGATAGTTTGTTTTCTTATCAAATGTTGGGCACAGATTACCAACTGTTAGTTTTATGAACTGGTCGGAGAGGATTACAACGGTTAATTTTATCTTCACAGCCCCAATCTGCACTGCTAAGGGAAACGAGTGTGGCGACAATGGTGACTGTGACACATCCTCCAAAGAATATTTCTGCAGATGCAAGAACGAGTACACTGGCCCAAAGTGTAGAACAGGTGAGAAGAATTGAGCTACAATATTGGCCATAGTGGGGGTCAGATGTATCCAACTTGAATGATAAACGCTGGTTGCGATTTACAATTTAGCAAGCATCATATTTAGAAATGAACGGCAAGGCGGAAATTGACTATGTTATTGTGTGTAGATTCAATGCAATAAGTCTTTTTCAGCCCCGTTTTGCGTTGTTGGAGGAAACGATTGTGGGTCCAATGGAAACTGCACACGGAGTAGCAGCTACCCTCCACTGTCATGTGTCTGCATGAACGGTTTCACTGGGAACAGATGCGACGTTGGTAAGGCTACTTATAATGATATATTCATTAACATGACTATGGGATCATATTCAATGGCCCAGCATCTACTTAAAGGCACAATTTCACACATTTTCGACAACCTTTTGGCCTATATTATACATATTGGGGCATATGCACTCACTTTAGCTTCCTATTGATGCAATAAAAGACTTATCCCTTACGACTAACCTGAAATCGATAACTGAAATTTCGAGGCAACAAGCTTAAAAACAGAGAAACAGAGATCAATATGATATTCGTAAAGAGCGCTCCAACGGGCATAACTCATGGGATTCGCTTGAAAATGCAACGTTGCATTAATTCGTTAGTACTTTTTAATTTATATTGTAATCTATATACGTATTTTTTATTTTTATCTTTTATGAATAAAATACATGTATGATAGCTTCCTGAGGGCTGATAGTTAGTATTATTGAGATAAATGCAGTATTTCGTTTTAGAGAAGTGAAATAGTGCCCTAAATATTAAGGGTAAAGCATTCAGAGAACACGTGGGGACCAGTTGTGTGCTCCTCCTAGCTAAATTGTTTCAGTCTGAGTCACATTTGTGGCTGGAACCCTCAGTAACCCATGCTTGTCGTAAGAGGCGTCTAACGGGATCGGGTGGTCAGGCTTGCTGACGTGGTCAATGCATGTCATAGTGTCTGTCTTCTCCAGTGTACGGGTTGACTGTGACACTTACAGGATGCATGTGCAAATGTAATTGAATGTAACTTTCAAAGAATAAATTACCGTGCCCATATTTATTGTGACTCTTACACGATCCATATCATCGTATCTCAGTTACGTGGAGCGATGCTCATGATGTCACTGGAATGTCTGGTCCAGACTCGATGGCTTACAAACAGCCGTCACACAGTTGGTATGTTGTTGAGTGTGGCTTTAAAAAAAAAGAAACAAATTACATTTTAACACACTTAGCAGAATAAGTGAGAGTGTCCAGATTGACTGTGCCTCTTACAGGATGTCTTTGCAAATGTAACTGAATTAAATTCGTTGCATATGTTTCAGCGCCTTTCTGCACCATTGGAGGAAACGATTGCGGTGCTAACGGAAACTGCACACGAAGTCGCAGTTACTATGGAAGCTCTTCATACTCATGTGTCTGCAAAAACGGGTATACAGGAAACAAATGCAACGTTGGTAAGACTACAGCACAATTACAAAGGGAATCATAATTCAACGCCATAATTAAGAAATCATGTATAAAAATTATTACAGATTTACTTAATATTCATGAGTGTACAGAAATGCTTATACAGGAGACAAATGCAACATTGGTAAGGCCAACTAGAATACATCTTAAGCAACCCATGCATGATGTACCAGGCAACTAACGGGATCGGGTGGTCAAGCTTGCTGACGTGGTCAATGCATGTCATAGTCTCTCTTCTCCAGTGTACAGGTTGACTGTGGCTCTTAAGGGATGCATGTGCAAATGTAATTGAATGTAATTCGTTGTGTTTGTTTCAGCCCCTTTCTGTATCATTGGAGGAAACGATTGCGGTACCAACGGGGATTGCACACAGAGCAGCAGTTACTATGGAGACTCTTCATACTCATGTGTCTGCAAAAACGGGTATACAGGAGGCAGGTGCAACATTGGTAAGACCAACTTTTCGACTACATCAGTGTGAGAGAGTGAATCAGGCTACTGACTTGAAGATAATGGTCTTGTTTGAATGAACATATCCTACGGCTTGTGCGGGCATTTTATTATTTTTGTTTTGTTTTTTCTTTTGTCAGCCCCCTTCTGCACTGCTGGTGGAGGTGAATGTGGAGTCAATGGAGACTGTGACACATCAACATATTCCTGTACCTGCAAGAACGGATACACGGGTCCCAAGTGTACTACACGTGAGGCAGATAAGGCCAAATGTTTAATCTGAAATGTCTCAATAAACGATTTTGTCTATCTACTTAGTTACTAGCAAATTCAGACATAACACAATACCCCCATGTACTCCCTATATCTCCCTTGAATGATATTGCTAGAGAAAATACTGAAGGTACAGAAACTGTCATCTTAATGTAATTCTGAAGGTACAGAAACTGTCATCTTAATGTAATTCGTTGTGTTTGTTTCAGCCCCTTTCTGTACCATTGGAGGAAACGATTGCGGTACCAACGGGGATTGCACACAGAGCAGCAGTTACTATGGAGACTCTTCATACTCATGTGTCTGCAAAAACGGGTATACAGGAGGCAGGTGCAACATTGGTAAGACCAACTTTTCGACTACATCAGTGTGAGAGAGTGACTCAGGCTACAGGCCTGAAAAGAATGTTCTCTGCGTCGCGCTTCACATCCAATCGTTAACGGAGTCCCGTTCTTTTCTCATAGGTTCTGATCAATGAAAATATCTCCTGGTTTGTGCGGCCATATTATTATTTTTTTATTTTTGTCAGCCCCAATCTGCACTGCTGGAGAAGGTGAATGTGGCATCAATGGAGACTGTAACACATCGGGACCAAGGTATTACTGTTCCTGCAAGAACGGATACACAGGTCGCATATGCACTACAGGTGAGGCAAATAAGGCCAAATATTGAATTTGATATGTCTCACTAGACCATTTTACCATTTTGTTTATCTGCCAAGTAACTAGCAATACAGATACAGCGCACCCCCACCCCCACTCCCTCACCCCCGTGTACTACCGATATCTTCCTTGAATGATATTACGAGAAGAAATAATCAAGATACAGAAACTGTAATCTTGATCCGACTATTCAGAATATAGCATATCTAAACAAATTTAATAGGTATACAGGAGACAGGTGCAACATTGGTAAGACTACAGCACAATTACAGAGGGAATCATAATTCAACGGCATAATTAAGAAATCATGTATAAAAATTATTACAGATTTTCTTAATATTCATGAGTGTACAGAAACGCTTATACAGGAGACAAATGCAACATTGGTAAGGCCAACTATTCGACTACATCGGTGTGAGAGAGTGAATCAGGCTACTGACTTGAAGATAATGGTCTGTGCGTCGCGCTTAACATCCAATCAGGAATTCCTCTTGTTTGAATGAACATATCCTACGGCTTGTGCGGGCATTTTATTATTTTTGTTTTGTTTTTTCCTTTGTCAGCCCCCTTCTGCACTGCTGGTGGAGGTGAATGTGGAGTCAATGGAGACTGTGACACATCAACATATTCCTGTACCTGCAAGAACGGATACACGGGTCCCAAGTGCACTACACGTGAGACAGATAAGGCAACATATTTCAAACTGACATGTCTCATCTGTTTTATCATTTATATGAAAGCTGACCTACTCTCAACATGATTGACGTGAGTTGGATAGCAATATTCCCCATATGTGTTTCCTGCTCGTGCGGGAAACTAGTTTCAGATTTATCGATGCTGATGCGATCCCTGTTTTATCATTTATATGTATATCGCAAGAAAAGCACCTTCATCTCAGCATGATTGACTTTGCCAACACAAGTTAAGAGATCCTCATCAATTCAAGTGTTTTAACTTCGGTTTGTGTTACCTTTACCTGCGCGGTGACCAGCAGAGGAAACTAAATATTGGCCAGTCAGATTTTATCGCATCTAAAATGTCCAGAATGATAGGGTGATTCGAAAAGACATTCTGAAGTGCCCTCAGGGAAGACAATGAACCTGATACAATGATGAAGTTTTTGGAATGGTTTTGCTGTTTAATATAGGTCAAAGCCGTGAGGATAGCATTGGTCACAGCTGCAAAATGGAACTATTGTCAGGGATTCTTGACTGTGGGACAGGAAACTTTGCCATCATCCTTGGATTCGTCTGTAAAAATGGATGTAATACTTAGGACGTAACTGGTTGTATTCCTGGTAGAACACCAAAGGATTTAGTTTGGATGTATTGAGTTTGGTGAAAGTAAGATCCATCTCTTGGTTCACCATCTGCCAGGGTGGGGAAGACAAAAGTTGCTAAGGTGATATGATATTAAGATCATTTTTAGTTTTTAATTCAGATTCCATTAGGTGGGTGGAGCCATCCTTGGCAGATGAGGAAGACGTTTTCATACAGAAGGTTGAAAACACAATGTAGGCTGGAATTGGCTAATTTGAATGTAATTTAGAGATATACTGCAGATAATGTTTAATGTGGCGTTGTTCAATGGGAGGTCTGTTAGCCTCCGCATATATGCTCTCTACCAGAGTGGCCCTAAAAGCTTCGAGACAGAGCCTAAGGCCTTGATTATGGACAGACAATTGAGCCATAATATTGTTTAGAACGAATTAATGATCTGTACAAATGATGGAGGGCAGTCTGATAATGAGTATCATCAGCTTCTGTCTCGTAAGCCTACCCTAGGGCAGTCTGCAGTTCATGCAGAGAAAACGTTATATTGTAATCCTCACCAGTTATCAGAGTTAAAAATTTACTGGTATCTTTTCTTTTTGGGTTTAGTATTTCTGGTTGTAATTTGATGATGAGGAATATTTGCCAATGTTTCGCCAAGTTTGTTTGCAATTGTAGATATATTGGTTAATAGAGATGACGAACACCAGATTTTGATTCTTTGCCCTTAATCGTTTTAATCATGTTCCCTACCTTGGACATGGTTGTACGGAACATTGATGTCCTTCATGACTGACGTTTAGTTTGTTTAAAGGTTTGTCTTGCCCTGGCATTTGACATTTTGACTCCATTCAAGTTATGCACGGTACAATGTTGTCGGAGTATTTTTCTGTTTTAGTCATATACATGTATTTTCTATCTCCAGTGATATTTAAGAGGTCTGAAAATAGTTCCGTGAAATTGTCATATTTAAGTATTTCAGAGCAGAGGATTTGGAATAATGCCAAGTTGGCATTAGTAAAATTCCACCTTGTTGAGGTGATTCATCCGCGGTATTGGTAGGAGTAAACATTGTTGGGAAATGGTTATTTCCACTAAGGTCATCGTGGACCGACCATTCAATCTCATTCAGAATATTAGAATCCGTGTGTGACAGATCAAGTGCAGAGCATGTTCCAATGATACGTGTTTGATCCATCGCTGAAGATGAAAGAATATTTTTTGAGAGAAAATCTTCAAGGACATTTCCCTTATTATTCGTATCAGAACTCTCCCACAGGAGATTATGGCCGTTTAAGTCGTCCGTGATTATGCAGGGCTTCGGAAGTTTATCATACAAGTTCTGAAAATCTGATATTCGGGCAGCTGAGTTAGGAGGAATATTGAGTGAACATAGTGTAAACCCTCATGCTGAGTCATGCGGACAGCAACGATTTGTAGGGAGGTGTTAAGGGGAACAGGGCCATGGGGGATGCCCTTCCTCGCCAGGCTAGAAGTGCCTCCTCTTGCTTTAAAACCAGAAGGCGAAAAAGAGTGGTAGGAACTATACAGACGGATGTCAAATTTATCAGTCCTCTTTCGGTAGGTTATTGGAGACAAAACGCGTACTGTTTAAAATCTTGAATCAATACCTGTACTTCATTTAAATTATTCTTAAGTCCTATGCAGTACCATTGATGCACGTTTTGTGAGTTCATGGTGCTTCTACTACTAAAATATCACCTGAACGCGAGGAAGCATTTTGAGTATACCTGTTGGTGTCAGGTGGACATATAGAGTGAAATCTACCTTTTGGTATCGGCTCAGGTGTCAGTGGGTGTGAAGTTTTAACTTTTGGTTTGAAGATGTATCAGCTTGTCTGTTTTAGTGTAGGAAACGGTTGAACAGACGTTACCCATGTAAGGTCAGTCTGGCAGTCAACAGAGGAAATATACGGATAGCACAGAAGGATATTACAGCAGAGTAGGGTGATACTGATGAAGTGATTCCAGTCAGACTTGCAACTTTCTTCTCAGCTTCTTGGAACGAGATATTTTGCTCATGCTATATTTTCAGTATATTGGATTCTCTGTGCCACACTAGGCAGGATCTCGAAGAGGTCATATGGTTATCACCACAGTTGCAATCTAATTTTTATGACACACAGATGTCTCAATATATTATAGTGTCTAGGCTGAGAGTGATGGGTGTCTTTGAAATAAAACAAACTGTGATTCCTTGTGTTTGTTACAGCGCCTTTCTGCACCATTGGAGGAAGCGATTGCGGCGCCAACGGGAACTGCACGCGCAGACGCATTAGCTTCGGACGTTATTCATACTCATGTGACTGCAGGAACGGCTATACAGGAGACAGATGCAACGTTGGTAAGACTGCGGCACAATTACAAAGGGTCTCATATTTAAACGACAATTATTTTCGAAATGAATCTTTGGACTCAAAAGGGAATAATAACAATTCCCTCACAGCGGTAATTAGGGTAACAACATTTATAGGATGACAATTGGAGTACAGGGTCAATTGATAGTAGTAGTGGATTTATGTCTTACTTTTAATACGGTGGAGAGGAATGTAGTTAATGATTTTAGATAATTTATGTCTTTGCGAGTAATTAAACGCACAAAGGTTTCAATTGTTTGAGGGTGGGTCTGGTGGGTTGTGAAACACTTATTTCTTATTTCAGAATATTTACCACAGATGAGTAGAACATGGAGCTCATCTTCAACATAGTTTAAACCAACAGAGTGGCAGTAAAGGCAGAGACGTTGATCATAGGGTGTATTTGTGTGGCGGCTGGTTTCCACTGCTAATCTAAAGTTGTTACAGCGGAACATAGCCATAACTTTCCTTTGATATGGGAGGAGATCACATGACAAGTAGTGTTCGACATTAAGTAAAGATTTAAATTGTGAATAATATTTACATTTAGATGAAGAGTCAAGTGAGGAACGCCAATTTTGAAGGAAGCAGTCATAAAATCGCTGCTTGAAGGTGGATATAAATGTTTTAATGCAGCCAATTTCTTGTGAGATCCATACAAACCCAAAACCATACTGAAAAAGGATTTGTCTTATATGTGAAGCCCAAGTAGATTTATTATTATCATCGAGAGATTTGAGCATTTGGTAGGCCTGATAAGGAAGTCTATGGTGTTGTAGCTGCAACAGTCTGCACCAGTACATTATTGATCTAGAGGTATAGTGGTATTGCAGTGAGAGTCTGCCACACTCTCCAAGCACCATGCTATTGTTGGTATACTTGCTGACTTTGAGAAAGGTCTTACAGAACTTAAAATGTACAGTTTCAATATGTCTGCAATAAGTGGTTCCCCAAATCTCTGATCCATAACACAGAATAGGTGTAATCATGGAGTCAAATATCTTAAAATGTCCTTGTGATTAATACATCCAAAATGTTTCTGGTAATTATAGATGGAGAATATAGCTTTGCTTGCTTGAGCTGCTAAACAGGATTTGGCTTTAGTCCATGACAATTTAGGGGTGAACACAATCCCAAGATATCTGTACCTATTCACAACTTCTATTTGTTCACCATTTAAAAACCATTTCTCATAAGAACGAAGAGGACCACCATTTCTAAAAACAATAATTTTTGTTTTGTTCAGATTAACTTTCATTCCTGCATCTGCACAGAATTTTTCAACAATATTAATTTTCTTTTGGAGCTGTAAAGCAGTGTCGGATACAGTTGATACATCATCGGCAAATAATAGCGAAAATACATCAGGAATATGAGTTGATATGAATACACCTCTTCCACCATCTTCCTCCAGCATTTGAGCAAGTTTGTTTTATGAATATAATAAAACGCACACACACGCGCACACACACACACACACATATACATACATACGTACGTACGTACGTACGTACCTACATACATACATACATACATACATACATACATACATACATACATACATACATACATACATACATACATACATACATACATACATACATACATACATACATACGTGATCACAAAATTCGTTATGTTTGTACAGCGCCTTTCTGCACCATTGGAGGAAGCGATTGCGGCGCCAACGTACGTACATACATACATACATACATACATACATACATACATACATACATACATACATACATACATACATACATACATACATACATACATACATACATACATACATACATACATACATACATACATACATACATACATACATACATACATACATACATACATACATACGTGATCACAAAATTCGTTATGTTTGTACAGCGCCTTTCTGCACCATTGGAGGAAGCGATTGCGGCGCCAACGTACGTACGTACATACATACATACATACATACATACATACATACATACATACATACATACATACATACATACATACATACATACATACATACATACATACATACATACGTGATCACAAAATTCGTTATGTTTGTACAGCGCCTTTCTGCACCATTGGAGGAAGCGATTGCGGCGCCAATGGGAACTGCACGCGCAGACGCAGTTACTATGGACGTTATTCATACTTATGTGACTGCAGGAACGGCTATACAGGAAACAGATGCAACGTTGGTAAGACTGCGGCACAATTACAAAGGGTCTCATATTTAAACGACAATTATTTTCGAAATGAATCTTTGGACTCAAAAGGGAATAATAACAATTCCCTCACAGCGGTAATTAGGGTAACAACATCTATGCTTGTCACATTTAGAGTGGGGAAAAGGTGAAACCAATTTTTTACCAGGAGACATTGCATTTTGTTTCTCATCTCACTTATCACTCTCGCATCAATTGCCTCTAATAACCTTTCCTCTAGGTTGCGGGGTACAACTTGTGTTTTCTTACAGCTCCCATCTGCACTGCTCTCGGAAACCAGTGTGGTTTTAACGGAGATTGCGATACTTCCAGCTCCAGACATTTCTGTCGATGCCGCAATGGATACACTGGCCAAACGTGTGCGAAAGGTGAGATGTTTTCCATCGAACTGGCAACACTGATAATGATAAAACAATGCTTCGTGATGAATAAAAGTTAATACCTAGTTTTAGAACAAGGTAAGGGTAGAAGACAAATGAAATATTCAAAATCGGTTATGTCTGCGAAACTAAACACCCTGTAGTTTGCACGTGTTGTGGGCAGTAGCTACACACAACCGAAGGGTGTTATTCTTGATTCGACAATGTCGAAGACAGTCGATTAATCTCTTTGGGCTATTATAGACAGACAGACAGACAGACAGACAGACAGACAGACAGACAGACAGACAGACATTTTATTTCAGTAATGTAGGCCCTTGGCCCATAATACAACATAGTGCAATTATAAAGAATACATACATGCTGGATATAGGATGACAATTGGAGTACAGGGTCAATTGATAGTAGTAGTGGATTTATGTCTTAGTTTTAATACGGTGGAGAGGAATGTAGTTAATGATTTTAGATAATTTATGTCTTTGCGAGTAATTAAACGCACAAAAGTTTCAATTGTTTGAGGGTGGGTCTGGTGGGTTGTGAAACACTTATTTCTTATTTCAGAATATTTACCACAGATGAGTAGAACATGGAGCTCATCTTCAACATAGTTTAAACCAACAGAGTGGCAGTAAAGGCAGAGACGTTGATCATAGGGTGTATTTGTGTGGCGGCTGGTTTCCACTGCTAATCTAAAGTTGTTACAGCGGAACATAGCCATAACTTTCCTTTGATATGGGAGGAGATCACATGACAAGTAGTGTTCGACATTAAGTAAAGATTTAAATTGTGAATAATATTTACATTTAGATGAAGAGTCAAGTGAGGAACGCCAATTTTGAAGGAAGCAGTCATAAAATCGCTGCTTGAAGGTGGATATAAATGTTTTAATGCAGCCAATTTCTTGTGAGATCCATACAAACCCAAAACCATACTGAAAAAGGATTTGTCTTATATGTGAAGCCCAAGTAGATTTATTATTATCATCGAGAGATTTGAGCATTTGGTAGGCCTGATAAGGAAGTCTATGGTGTTGTAGCTGCAACAGTCTGCACCAGTACATTATTGATCTAGAGGTATAGTGGTATTGCAGTGAGAGTCTGCCACACTCTCCAAGCATCATGCTATTGTTGGTATACTTGCTGACTTTGAGAAAGGTCTTACAGAACTTAAAATGTACAGTTTCAATATGTCTGCAATAAGTGGTTCCCCAAATCTCTGATCCATAACACAGAATAGGTGTAATCATGGAGTCAAATATCTTAAAAATGTCCTTGTGATTAATACATCCAAAATGTTTCTGGTAATTATAGATGGAGAATATAGCTTTGCTTGCTTGAGCTGCTAAACAGGATTTGGCTTTAGTCCATGACAATTTAGGGGTGAACACAATCCCAAGATATCTGTACCTATTCACAACTTCTATTTGTTCACCATTTAAAAACCATTTCTCATAAGAACGAAGAGGACCACCATTTCTAAAAACAATAATTTTTGTTTTGTTCAGATTAACTTTCATTCCTGCATCTGCACAGAATTTTTCAACAATATTAATTTTCTTTTGGAGCTGTAAAGCAGTGTCGGATACAGTTGATACATCATCGGCAAATAATAGCGAAAATACATCAGGAATATGAGTTGATATGAATACACCTCTTCCACCATCTTCCTCCAGCATTTGAGCAAGTTTGTTTTATGAATATAATAAAACGCACACACACGCGCACACACACACACACACACATATACATACATACATACATACATACATACATACATACATACATACATACATACATACATACATACATACATACATACATACATACATACATACATACATACATACATACATACATACATACATACATACATACATACATACATACGTGATCACAAAATTCGTTATGTTTGTACAGCGCCTTTCTGCACCATTGGAGGAAGCGATTGCGGCGCCAACGGGAACTGCACGCGCAGACGCAGTTACTATGGACGTTATTCATACTCATGTGACTGCAGGAACGGCTATACAGGAGACAGATGCAACGTTGGTAAGACTGCGGCACAATTACAAAGGGTCTCATATTTAAACGACAATTATTTTCGAAATGAATCTTTGGACTCAAAAGGGAATAATAACAATTCCCTCACAGCGGTAATTAGGGTAACAACATCTATGCTTGTCACATTTAGAGTGGGGAAAAGGTGAAACCAATTTTTTACCAGGAGACATTGCATTTTGTTTCTCATCTCACTTATCACTCTCGCATCAATTGCTTCTAATAACCTTTCCTCTAGGTTGCGGGGTACAACTTGTGTTTTCTTACAGCTCCCATCTGCACTGCTCTCGGAAACCAGTGTGGCTTTAACGGAGATTGCGATACTTCCAGCTCCAGACATTTCTGTCGATGCCTCAATGGATACACTGGCCAAACGTGTGCGAAAGGTGAGATGTTTTCCATCGAACTGGCAACACTGATAATGATAAAACAATGCTTCGTGATGAATAAAAGTTAATACCTAGTTTTAGAACAAGGTAAGGGTAGAAGACAAATGAAATATTCAAAATCGGTTATGTCTGTGAAACTAAACACCCTGTAGTTTGCACGTGTCGTGGGCAGTAGCGTCACACACAACCGAAGGGTGTTATTCTTGATTCGACAATGTCGAAGACAGTCGATTAATCTCTTTGGGCTATTATATCTGTCTAGTGACCCGTGACGATCCGGGTTAGAATTGGTTTTCAGCAAGCCATACTTGTCGTAAGAGGCAACTAACGGGTCGGGTGGTCAGATTCGCTGACTTGGTTGACACATGTCATCGTATCCCAGTTGCGTAGATGAATACTCATGATACTCACCACTGGATTGTCTGGTCCAGACTCGATTATTTACAGACCGTCGACATATAGCTGGAATATTGCTGAGTGCGGCGTTCAACAACATACCAACCAACCAACTTCTGTCAATCTTTATGGTTGTGCATACCATACAATTGTAATTTGTAATACACACCATGTAATCAGAAACCTGTGAAACAGGGTACAAACACTCAAACTGCTGATGATGGGCCCCTATGTCAGGGTCGCCAAGGATCGCTAAATGCAATGTTTAATCCTAACGCAGGATATTAATCATCCCAAAACACACTCGCGTGAGAACCAATATTTACTAACAGATTTAATGTATAGCTGACAAAGTCATGTATTAAGATCTGTCACGATATGAGAGAGTGAGACGTTCCCACAATATTACGAGAAGAATTCTACCTTGAAACATAAAGGTCATCCTAAAACTAGGTTTTTACAGAACTTAATTGTGAAATCGCTAATTAAACACAGAAGACCAATAGATATATTATAATGGCCTGCAAGGGGCAATACAGTTGGCCAAATAAGTGGCAACAAGTAGCAGGCCGTTTTGTCATTGTACTTATGAACTTCTTGAATCTGTCACAGTCGAATTCTGAAAAACATTCACACGATGAAGGGGAAAGAATTAGCTTTAAAAAGTCGTATAAAGAATTAAAGAAATTGCTGTCCATTCATGTTCGTCCAAGTTTTAAATTCCTTTCAAGAACTTTATGCTGTCATCTCTTTTAATTACTATTGTTGTCATTGTGTAGTATTTACCATTGGTGCTATGATTGTTTCATACTACCAATGTTGTATACTTTCATTGTTTTATGTTAGCAATGTTACGTGTTACCATTGGTGAACGTTGTTATCATTTTCTGTTATCATTGTTTTATGTTATCATTTATGAAATTCATTGGTTAAGGTAAAGTCAATATTTGTTGTTGAAACTGTAGCTGTATAGTTGTCCTGGAGTTTTTTCTTCAAGGTTATGGATATTGTTATTTTTCACAGCCCCGATCTGCACGGCTCAGGGAAATGAGTGTGGGGACAATGGCGATTGTGAAACATCGGGAAGGAAGTACGTCTGTTCTTGCAGGAATGGATATACTGGCCCAAAATGTACCTCACGTAAGAAGAAACATTTCATAACAAAAAATAGTCAAAACTTAAAAATTTGGACTAAATAATTGAAATCACGAGAAAAACACCGAAGAAGTGAGACTTAAATCAAACTTCTGAAAAATATTGTGCAAATAATAATAAACTAACGATAATTTTTAAAAATAGAAATGTACGAAATAAATTGATAACGCCAAACAGGCACCAATCGTGCATAAAATCTCCCCAGTCCGAAAATAAAATGGTTCGTGACTGTAATTTTCTATGCTATCTCTGCAGCGCCCTTCTGCACACCTGGAGGAAGCACGTGTGGCGACAATGGTTATTGTTCTAGAAGAGGAAGTTACTGTGTCTGCAATAACGGCTACACAGGACCAAGGTGTACAATAGGTAAAGAGACTTCAAGCACAGCAACCCGTGAAGATCCTGGTTAGAATATGCCTTCAGTAACCCATGCTTGTCGTAAAAGGCGACTAACGGGATTGGGTGGTCAGGCTCGCTGGCTTGGTTGACACATGTTATTGTATCCCAATTGCGTAGATCGATGCTCATGCTGTTGATCACTGGATTGTCTGGTCCAGACTCGATTATTTACAGACCACCGCCATATAGCTGGAATAATGCTGAGTGTGGCGTAAAACTAACTTCGCTCACTCACTCAGGCACAGCATCTTTAAGGATAAGCCCAAACTTTTATCGTATGCTTGATAATGTTATCAATCAGTGAGTGAGTGTAGTTTTACGCCGCTTTCAGCAATATTCAGGCATTTCGTTTTTTCCATAAAAGCTACCACCAATGGGATAATCTTTATGTCCTTAATTCATATAATGTTGCCTTGTTGAATAGCATAGATTAGGAAAATAAACACAGAAATATGTGTCTTATGCTATATATTTTTATTCACCACTTTATTCACGGCAATGTTGTTGAAAGTGGTTTACAAAAGGCTGAAACAAACAAATCCACGTTTTGCTCATACAACATAGAAGGTACAGTTTCGCATATATGGTTGCTTGTCGTAAGAGGCGACTAACAGGATGGGGTGGTCAGGCTCGCTGACTTGGTTGACACATGTCATCGTATCCCAGTTGCGTAGATCGATGCTCATGCTGTTGATCACTTGAATATTTACAGACCGCCGCCATATTGCTGAGTGCAAACCAATATATGGTTGAACAGCTATGTAGAGACAAGGGTGTTTTGTTTGAGAGACACAGTTCGTAAGTGTTTTCCTTTTTACAGCCCCGTTCTGCATTGTTGGTGGGACAGATTGCGGCCCCAATGGGTTATGCACGGAAGTACTACGAAACTACGTATGCAAATGTAGCAACGGCTACGCGGGAGACAGATGCACCGTCGGTGAGACTGTCTGTCATTTTCTTTTGTATATACATGTCATTGTCATGAGTAACCGCCTTGGCTTTGGGAAATCGACATGACAACTTCCATTTTGAAGCGTAAAACTTCTTCGAAATAGTGGCGAAATAATCCTCGTACTGTGTGTCGAATGAAATCTTAACAAACTACAATAGCAACTGTGCTTCAGAGTTTTGAAGTTGAACTATCGATAGATTGCTGAATTAGTACGCAAGTCTTTCTGTGAAAATGGTGTTTACCTTTGAAGTATTGATGGAAAAGGTTCTGCGTCCAGATCCGCAAAGCGTTCGTAAAGCTATGACGTTCATAAGCCTATGGTAAACTGTAGCGTTACCACAGGTCGTAACGTTACGAATGCTTTTTGGATCGGGACCCTGGATGCTAATCTTATTTCCCATTCAGTATCTTCAGAGTTCTTCGGTACCATAGTAGAATGCGTCATACACGCTGATTTGACAAACTTGTTAATTTTTTATCATGATGTTATGCCATATCCGGAGGAATGGGTTTTTTCTGCTGAGAGAGGCTGATCTTGTTGTTCTTAAACATTAAATGATTTTGCTTCGATATCTGGAACAGTCTGCGTAACAGATACACTTGTATCTGTGTGTTGCAGCTCTTGATTTTGTTATTTGTGTAAGTGTGTCAGTGGTATTTGGTTGTGTGTGTTCCAGCAACAAAACCCGTGTGCACTATTGGGGGCAGCGAATGCGGCGCTAACGGAGTCTGCGAAGTCTGGGAAGCCTTGGAACCGGAAAATTATTGTGCCTGCAAGAATGGATACAGTGGGAAAACATGTAACATAGGTAAGATACGCTCACACGCACACATATGCACTTCAGTATCGTTGGATACTCTCTGTTAAACGACTTATTGTTTCTAAAACATTCTTGTAGTGTTCATTTCATTTGGTTACATAAGGAAAACGTGGCTTTGTTAATACGCCCTTAAACCTACCTGATAATGTATCATTACTACTACTACCTCTCTCACTACTGATGCTGGTAGTACTGCTACTACTTCCGGGTTAGGATTGATCTTCATCAACCGTAATAGGCGACTAACAGGATTGAGTGGTCAGAATATCTGATTGGCTGATATATGCCACCGTGACCTACTTGTCCAGATAGATACTCATGCTATCAACCACTATACTACGACGATGACTACGACGACGAAGACTACTACTACTACTTCTACTACTACTACTACTACTACTACTACGACTACGATTACTACGACAACGACTACTACTACTACTTCTACTACTACTCCTACTCCTACTCCTACTATTACTATTACTACTACTTCTACTACTACGACTACGATTACTACGACGACTACTACAACTACTTATTCTACTACTTCTACTACTACGACTACGACTACTACGAGGACGACTACTACTATTACTTCTACTACTACTACGACTACGATTACTACGACGACGACTACTTCTTCTACTACTACTACTACTACTACTACTATTACTATTACTACTACTACGACGACGACGAGTACTACGACGACGAGTGCTACTACTACTTTTTCTACTACTACTACTACGACTACGACTACGATTACTACGACGACGACTACTACTACTTATTCTACTACTACTTCTACTACTACGACTACTACGAGGACGACTACTACTACTACGACTACGATTACTACGACGACGACTACTACTACTTCTTCTACTACTACTACTACTACTACTACTACGACTACGATTACTACGACGACTACTACTACAATTACAATTACGACGACTACTACTACTACGACTACGATTATTACTACCACTACTACTATACAACGACTACGATTACTACGACTACGACTACTACTACTGCTTCTACTACTACTATTACTACTACTGCGCTACAAACTTCTTCTGTTGTTATTGTTTTGGTAGTTTTAATATTCATGTTTCAATTACTTATCATGTCATTATAGCCCCAGTTTGTGCAGCATCAGGGGATACGTGCAGCGGACATGGCGAATGCAACATATGCACTAACTATCACTACTGTCAGTGTTCTGACGGCTACAATGGGGACACCTGCTCTGTTGGGGGTAAGTGTGCAGTTAGATACTAGAGTGAGTGAGTGAGTGAGTGAGCGGCGGGGAACACCAGAAATGGGCTTAACACATTGTACCCATTTGGGGAATCGAACCCGGGCCTTCGGGTTGGCTGGCGAACGCTTTAACCATTAGGCTACCCCACCGCCCCTTAGGTGGTAGAGGAACGTGCTGACAGACACTCTTTAAATACTGACTCTTCCCAATTCGTGGAGTCAGTTGTAACTGGTCTGACCAGCGAGGAAGTCTACCAGAATCCTGTAATCTCTATACATCATTTATAATTGAAATGTATGATAAAATACGTGTGCTGTGAACAGATAAATAATGATCAAAGATACGTGCAACAAAAGATTCGTGAAAACAAACTAAATGTGCGCGCGTTTACAATGTTTAGATGAGATAATGCAAATATCACTCCCACACTGACAGAATTCATTGCTGATCGTTTTGTGTTTCAGAAAAAACAGGAAACAATCCCAGTAAACCAGGAAACAATCCAAGTAAACCAGGAAACATTCCCAGTAAACCAGGAAACAATCCCAGTAAACCAGGAAACAATCCAAGTAAACCAGGAAACAATCCAAGTGTCGCCCCTGATGTTACAATGCTTTCTGTGACAACCATGGTGATGTGTGTATTTGGTAGTATGATGTTAAGATAGATACTATGACATCTTAATGATCTGTGTATTTGGAAGTATGATGTTAAGGTAGATCCTTTGACAACTAAATGACCTATTTTTGTGGAAGTATGATGTTAAGGTAGTTCCTTTGACAACTTAATGATCGGTAAATTTGGAAGTATGATGTTAAGGTAGGTCGTTTGACAACCTTAGGATCTGTGTGTCTGGAAGTGTGATGTTAATGTAGATCCTTTGACCACTTAATGACCTATGTTCGTGGAAGTATGATGTAAGAGTAGTTCCATTCACAACTTAATGATCGGTGTATTCAGAAGTAAGATGTTAAGGTAGTTCCTTTGACAGCTTAACGATCTGTGCTTGTGGAAGTATGATGTCAAGGTAGATCCTTCGACAACTTAATGATCTGTGTATTCGGATGTAAGAAGTTAGGGTATTTTCTTTTACAACTTAATGATCTGTGTTTGTAGAAGTATGATGTTAAGGTACTTCCTTTGACAACTTAACGATCTGTATATTTGGAAGTATGATTCTAATGTAGATCCTTTGACACATTAATGACCTGTGTTTGTGGAAGTATGATCCTAATGTAGATCCTTTGACAAATTAATGACCTGTGTTTGTTATGATTCTAATGGAAGTATGATCCTAATGTAGATCCTTTGACAAATTAATGACCTGTGTTTGTGGAAGTATGATTCTAATGTAGATCCTTTGACAAATTAATGACCTGTGTTTGTGGAAGTATGATGCTAATGTAGATCCTTTGACAAATTAATGACCTGTGTTTGTGGAAGTATGATCCTAATGTAGATCCTTTGACAAATTAATGACCTGTGTTTGTGGAAGTATGATCCTAATGTAGATCCTTTGACAAATTAATGACCTGTGTTTGTGGAAGTATGATCCTAATGTAGATCCTTTGACAAATTAATGACCTGTGTTTGTGGAAGCCTGCTGTTAGCACATAATGATCTGGGTTAAGGTGGGTCCAGTGACAGATTAGTGATTTCTGTAAATAGATGTGGAACTCTTTATAAAGACGGTTTCCGCGTTAATATGTACTCAGAACTCCAACTTTAAAACGGAAGTTTCCACTGCACCTCCTTTTTATCATGCAATTTGCGAAACCCCTGTGAAGACAGTGTACAGGGTTGTCCTTGTAGACTATGTATCGGAAAGTCAATTGTTTGTGCGGTTTGTATCACACTTCTGATGATCTGTGTATTTTAATGTCTTTACTTCATGTAGTTTCCATGACAACCTTCATGGCGGGTATTTTAAAGTTTGTTAAGAAGATTTCGGCTAAATGTGATTTCCTAAATACATGAACTTACTTGCTGACATGAATAAAAGTGGTGGCACAAGTATGTCCGTTTGGCGTTATTTTTATTATTACTATTATTTTTATTGGTTCCCAAGATTACAATATTACAGATATACAAAGCCGTGATACATGCGACTTATAGTACTAAAGATACATAATGTACAGGTAAGATATCAATATGTTAATATATTCATATAGACGCATGAATCATTAAACGTACAGATGATGTCATCTAAGAACTGGGAAGATAAGGCTCATCTGTGATTGAAATTGTTTACTTTATCATTTTTTGTTGATATATGATTTTCCACAAAAATATTTCTTTTCGAGTTTTTATACATAAAGTTAGATTTGGAAGCATATTTTTTATTCTGCATATGTAAAAATGCCTCTTCGCAGCAATGATGATGTGATTTAGTAATCTATTTTGATGTAGAGTACCAAACCAAACCATGAGTTTTGATAATATCAATGGATGAGGATATAAATTAAGCCAAATGTGTAGGTTTTTCCAAAGGGTTTGTGTCTTCTGACATTCCCAGTACATGTGACACAAACTCTAGTTTACATCGCTGCAAAAGCAACACAAACTGTTATCAACTTTTTTTCATTTTGAGCAATTCCCCGTTTCTATAAATAATGCCTTGTAGAAATATATATATCTTGTAATCCTTTTCTATATATCGTAAATATATTTTTGCAATTACAGTCAGTTGTCAATAAGTGATGACATCTATTACAGATGTTTGGATGTTTATCATTCCAAATAAGCTTTTATTACCAGTCCGCGTAAGATACTGCAGTGTAATATATTAACGGCAATATTACACTAGTGTAATACCGGTAGACATATGACGTCATACTGGTTTACAGTTATGGCGTCACAATATTGATACCTCTGTCACAATGGTATTAGACCTTGCTTGACTCCAGGAAAGCTGAAAATCATCACACTGTAAGCAGTCTCTATCAATTTGTGATGGAGAGTAATAAACACAATACTAAACTCGCTTCCGTGAAATACCATTTTTATTAAACTCATGAAAGATTTAGTATCAAACTCGCTTTCGCTCGTTTGATACCAAATCATTAACTCGTTTAATAAAAATGGTATTACACTGAAGGACATTTGGTATCCTCTATATCATAAAAAGTCCAGCGGCCTTTTGATGCTTTTACTAAATTTAGCCGACATTAGTTGATATTCAAATTCCTGACTGGAATAGAGCGGCAGTGCTTTAAAGTATGTTTCCAAGATTCAGATAATGTGTTTAGTAAATATGAAAAATTTATAAACGTACCTTTCATACAATGTTTTTCTTTTAAAGATTCTACTGATATTGATAGTAGTCCATTTGCATCACATATATCCCTAATACTCATAATCCCTTCCTCTGCCCAATTCTTTATGGAGTGTATAGAGTTTTTCAAATTGTGATTTAAGCTGAGTGGTTGGGATAGGATATCATTGATGTTATTTGGGTCAATCTAATGCTGTTTGTGAAACAGATTTCTTTCTTTTAGCAAACCATGCCAAAAAGGATTTTCAATCTGAACAAAGTTTCAGAATTTGCTCCAAAATTAAATATATCTTTAAAAGGTATATTGCATAGATTAAATAAATAAGGTCTTAAAGTGGATAATTTCAAAGCATCAATAAATCTGTTTGTATCATCTTTTCAATCCTCCTTCTGTACATATATTTTTATTACACTCCTCTTCATTTTATCATTTTTTATCATTGCAAATAAATTCTACAAATTCTTCTGGTGTTTTGGGCAAAGAATTGAAAATATGCACTAGTTTGGAGATTGCCATGTTTTTTATAACTGTTATTTTACCAATAATGTGTTTTCACAAAGCTGCTAATAGTCTATTAATTTCTTCCAGTCTCTTTCTGGTGTTGATTCCCATAATTCTTCAAGATCTAGTGTAAATGTAATACCAAATACATATAATTCGCCGCTTACCCATTCAATTTTCAGATCATTATATATTTTATCAGTAGATTTAGTTTTTGATCCAATCCAGATTGCTTTTAATTTATCTAAATTGGTTTCAAATTTGACATTTTATAAAATGTATTAATTGTGTCAATACAAACTCTCCTCAGTTCCACCAAGAACTACTTGTTTAATGTATCATCAACGTATTGATCCAGTTTATATTCATTACCATTGAAGACAATACCTTTGCTATTTTCATTATATTCATTACCATACCTTTGATGTTTTCATTGTTTCTTATCATACAACCAAGAATCTCAACTACAAAAAGAAAAAGGTATGAGGAGAGTGGGTCACCCTGTTTACATCCTCGATTATTAGCAAAAAATTCAGAAAGATTTCACAAGATGTTGTTTCAAAAGTCAATACATTTATCGATCTTATCATTTTTAGGGCCAAATTCAAATTTATGTAAAACTAGGTTGATAAAATCTTTAGAAACAGTGTCAAACGTTTTTCCAAAATCAAACAGAGTTAAAATTAAAAACAGAAATGTTTTGTTTCTTTGCTGAAAACTTTGTCATATAGCAGTATTCTATTTTCACTAATAGTTCTACCTGGTTTAAAATCAGTTTTATTACAGTAAATAAGTTCATCTGAAGTAGCTTTTGATCTAAGTGCAATACTGATAATTGTATTTTATGACATAAGTAATGTTCTGTCCCCATTGGGTTTTGATTACAGGTGCTGACCCCTTTTCATGTTTGAAGACATTTTATTCTCAGTTAATACATTATAAATGCATACTTTTATTTCTTTCCAATTTTTAAAGCAATCAGTAGGATATCCATCAATCCCTGGGGATTATCATTCTTGATCTTGTAAACAACATTGCTAATTTCCTCGAAGATGAGTTTTGAAATCATTCAAGCAGTCTTCCTCCTTAAACTGTTCCTGAGCAGCATAGAGATTTTTATACAATAACTGTAATTCATTAAGTAATGATATACAGTCTGTAATTTCTTTGTTATGATTAGTTATCAATTTATTGATTTATTTTTTTCAGAAATTTCTATTTTCCAGATGGCAGAAATATTTAAACGGTTTTTTTCTCCTCCGTACCAAAGAATTCGGTTTCGGATTTCTATTCCTTTCATGTCTTCGTTTTTAATTTCTTCCACATCTTTCTTATGCTTTGATAATTTACTAAGAAGTTGTTCAACTATGTTTTGAAACTTTTTATGTTTTTTTAGTTTCAGTTCTGTATTTTTGGATTTTGTTTTTTATGTAAGTTGAAGAAGATAGTCTTTCCTCGAATTTTTAAATTTTCAATAAAGTTTCTAGAAATTAATTATTAAGATTAATATGTTTAATGTTTTTAAAGTCATCTCAATTATTTCTGCTGGGTATTCTTTAACAGTATCATTTAAAACAGTTCTGACTAAATTTCCATATTCAAGGTTTAACAGCAAGGAATTATTAAACTTCCAATAACCACGTACCCTTTCCTGGTTTAACGTGTTTGAAATGTTTAATGTTGTTTGTGAGTGATTACTTTTATAGCCTGGCAAAATATCTGAATCCAAAGTTATATGAAATATGTCTTCAGATACAATAAAGAAATCATGTTCGGCTGGTTGTAATGGAGTTTTTTCCAACAGGTGTATTTTCTTGATTTATCATGTGGGGAATCAAACCAGGGTCTTCGGCCTGACGAGCGAACGCTTTAACCTCTAGGCTACCCAACCGCCCCGTTTCTAAAGGAACAAATATGCCATTAACTTGTAATGATGGCTCCAGAGGTCTCCATGCAGCGTCCTTTTTGGTCGACATGTTGAGAAGAAGGACATTGTTCCACATGCCGGTATTGATATCAAAGGAAGACGGCAGCATGGTTAGTCGCGATGATGTCAGCTGACTTTGGCAATAATTTGGAGTATTGTGAATAAAACCTGAGACTTGCCATAAGTGAACAATGGAGTCAACAGCATCATCTACGCAGCATGTCTTGGGGGCAATTTGAGATAGTGAAATATATCGTATTAAGAAAGATAATTGCTATGAACAGTAGAGACCAGAATAGACGTACGCCCGTAATGATAGCAGTAGAGAAGGGACACAGAGTAAGTGTATGGTTTTACGCCGCTTTTAGCAATATTCCAGAGTGGAAACCCAGTGGTTAAAGCGTTCGCTCGTCACGCCGAGGACCCGGGTTCGATTTTCCACATGGGTACAATGTGTGAAGCCCATTTCTGGTGTCCCCGTAGTGATATTGCTTGAATATTGCTAAAAGCGGCGTAATACCATACTCTCTCGCTCACTGTGACGTGTCATAGCGTGACGAGGAGACGCTTACACCACCAGTCTACCCCATTGCCCCTTATGCTTATCGGACGACCATATTGTATGATACTTCTGTATCATACCAAGCAATCGAAACTCTTACATATTCAGAATTCCAGTCACACGGACATCCTGACCAGTGGCAGGCGATCCGCAGATCCAGAGTTTTCTCCATCCAATACAATAGGATATGATCGGTTAATATAACGCCGCACACAGCAATATCCCAGCTATATGGTGGCGATCTGTACATAATCGAGTCTGGACCAGACAATCCAGTGATCAACAGCACAAGCATCGATCTACGCAACTGGGATATGATGACAGGTGTCAACTAAGTTAACGAGCCTGACCACCCGATCCCGTTAGTCGCCTTTTACGACAAACCTGAGTTACTGAAGACCAATGCTAACCGGAATCTGCACGGGTCACAAACTAATCAGAAACAAGTAACTTGATACAAAGGAACATAAAGAACAAAGCACTGTAACATCAACAGTGGCTTGCTGTGTCTATTATGGCAACATCTTGGTTGAAACAGTGAAGTTCTCATGCGATGAACCTAACTGTTAGGTCAACAGGAGCCCAGTTACCTCTTTAACACAAACCACAGGGAAGAGCGCCCGACTGCTGCAAATTATTCCCAGAAGAGTAACTTCCCTTGACGAAGACCCCCACTCCCTATGAAATCGAGTCAAATGGTTTTAACGCCACATTGTACGGTGTTTGAATACATCACTATGAGTCGGATGAAGTCCAAGAAATGATGCCGGTTTCTGACTTTGACTACTTTGGTGAAACCGACGAGCAAGGCAATGATTCAGACGCACTGGGATTCGAACTCAAGCATGCCTTTGGGATTATTTGATCCTCATTTCAGAAGTTGCTGAGTCATTAATATAGCATACTACTTTATGGATCACAATTTCTTGTTAATTGTATGGGGTGGTGGGGTAGCCCAGTGGTTAAGGCGTTCGCTCGTCCCGCCGAAGACTCGGGTTTGATTCTCCACATGGGCACAATTAAGTCCATTGCTGGTGTCCCCCGCCGTGGTATTGGTGGACTATTGCTAAAAGTGGCGTAATATATAAAACCATAGAGTGACGTTCCCGTGTAGGTTCTTACACGCTTCCCTTCAAGCTTAAAGTTAAAAGCGTTTTCAAGCTAAAGGTACCCGTAAAGGTTCGGGCTGTAATTGATGTTCAGTAACCCATGCTTGTCTAACGGCATCGGGTGGTCAGGCTCGATGACTGGGTTGACACGTGTCATCGTATCCCAATTGCGTAGATCGATGTTCATGCTGTTGATTGTTTACAGACCGCAGCCACATAGCTGGAATATTGCGGTGTAAAACTAAACTCACTCACTCAAGCTAAAGGTGAAAACGGTTTAAGAACCTACACCCAAACGTCGCTCTATGCAATAAACAAGAAGTTGTCATCAGTTAAGACGCATTCTCTATTATGAACGTCTGTGGAATGAAATTTTTAAAGCGGACAACGACGAATTACGCTGTTTAATGTTATACCCGTGAATTTTGAGTTGGAAAAAGTTTTTTATACACTCTCATTGACAAAATAATTTTGAAATATCCAAGATCGACAACGATGTACAGTTTTAATGAAGAGTGGGGTGGCGTTAAAACCACACTGTCATTATATTATGGACTTTTCACGTTGAAAATGTGTTTCGGTGACCTTGGGAGTTATAAACATAGGCATTATATACAAGACTGGCCACACAATGCTGGCTGACCGCTGAATAAATAAAGTTCCTTTATGCTAAAACAACATACATTTGGGAACATTAATGTATTTGCTGCTGGTTTGGGGTTTATCGGTTTGATCACAACAATGAAATATATTCATAACTTCTACCGTGCCCATTCACTAAATAAACACTGTCATGTAACGTCAACCTGTAGAAACTTGTATAGAGGCTTTTCCTCCGCCAGCTTGTAATCAGAGGCCTCTATTGTGACCTGGCGAGGTCAAGGGATTTATCTTTCTGGTTTATGCAATGTCTGGTTATCTGAGGCAGGTAAGCTCTGGTGACCAGGTAAGAAGGATTACACAGTGGTTGTGTACCAGGTATTTATTACCTGTCAGTTACCACCCTCTCTGACACAACATCAGGTGGGGGACCTTTCAACACAGCGTCATTATTTGTGCCAACAAAGAGCAGGTTAGATAGGGTTCACATTAGGTGAACTCGGTGTACGTTGGACTGTACTAGTTATCAAGGTGTGTTTGACAAGGTGTGTTTGATTCAATGCGATTACCTTGGTATCCTGTTATAGATAATGAGGTGGTCACTATCTGGGTGGCATCATGGCGGATACAGACGTCGACCGTTATAGGATGAAGTCCAAGCCGCGAGGTGAGAATAAGACTGCAAGAATAGAGGGTATCTCTTTCCCAGCAGATGTATTAACCGGGACCTATTAACCATTGTTAACGATATAGATTAACGATATTAATCATTAGCGATTGATAAACGTGAAGACGAGTGAATCAATATGTATGTATGTATGTATGTATGTATGTATGTATGTATGTATGTATGTATGTATGTATGTATGTATGTATGTATGTATGTATGTATGTATGTATGTATGTTAAAAGACATATTAATTCACTTATCTTCACGTTTATCAATCGTTAATGATATCACATTGATCGGCAGTCTCCTATTTCTTGAATGTGTGTGTGTGTGTGTGTGAGAGTGTGTGTGTGTGTGTGTGTGAGAGAGAGAGAGAGAGAGAGAGAGAGAGAGAGAGAGAGATATCATACCATCAGATTCCAATAAGCTAAATACATTTTTCAAATGTGTTGCAAAAAAAAACATGTTGAAAAAAACCATCCAAGAATAACATTGGGGATTTACATTCCAGGGATCTGCTTGATCATTGACAACATTAACGAAGTACCAAACCGTGCCCCCCACAAACGTGAGTATGAACTAGGGGCGTGTCTACTGTCTCATGAAGGCCGGCTAAAGTAAACATGTAACACACCATCCCAGTAGTCAGACACAAGTCAATGTCCAAAGGCTCTCACATTCACGCCATGATATCTGTGTCATATATATGTTGACTGCAATCATTGACTTCTGATGCGGTATAAAGAGATGAGAATTGGAAGGAATCTGCGGCTCGAGTTGGCGTCCGGCTCAACACAAGAACGTGCTTCAGGTTTGTCCCCATTAGCTGTCACAAACCAAAGGGCCCCAGCACTTACGTGCTATCAAGTTACAAGTGAAAGTCTAAGAGGATTTTCCGATCACTTTCACAACACGAGACATTCAACATTCTAACAGCCTATATCCGGTTCAGGCATTCTCTGTTGGCTTTAATGGGGCCCCTGTGACCTTTGCTCGGGAATACCAGCGAACCAGCTCTGTGAGCGAGTATGGTTTTACGCCGCCCCTGGCAATACTTCAGTAATACCAGCGCGGAGAACAACCAGAAATCGAATTCTCACATTATACTCGTGTTGGGAGTCAATCGCGGGTCTTCAGTGGCATAAGGCTCCCCCATTGCTACACGGCACACACACACATGCACGCATGGAGAGAGAGAGAGAGAGAGAGAGAGAGAGAGAGAGAGAGAGAGAGAGAGAGAGAGAGAGAGAGAGAGAGAGAGAGAGAGAGAGAGAGAGAGAGAGAGAGAGAGAGAGAGAGAGAGAGAGAGAGAGAGAGAGAGAGAGAGAGAGAGAGAGAGAGAGAGATTGGCCATATCAGTGCTTTGTTCAGACGGCCATTCACCCAAACTTGTCTCAAACAGAACACAGACGGGGCCGCAAAAGTTCATGGGTGAGTGAACATGTTCGACGGCACATATTACATGCGATGTAGCCTTTAAAGTGTTCTAAATATATCTCCGTTAACTCAGCAGGGAATGGGTACCCGGTAGGTTGAGATGGTAACGTGACTGTAACGTTAAATTTGCAGCTGCCTCAAAGGCTGCTTGGGTTCCACGAGAGCAGAGAAGGGATATCAAGCGCCCACTGCACACTGACTAGTTGAAAGGCATTATAATGATATGATTGAAGCATCCGTGGATTTCATATGTGCTATTTCAATATGCTTATAATTATTTATGTTTTCTCTGGTCTCCTGTTAGAAATGGAGGCCCGGTCGTCTAAGGCACAGCAGTAAGCTGTTCAAAGCAGCGTAAAGTTCATTCACTTGCTCACTCATTCATTCACTATCCAACCGCCTCCGTGGTGTAGTGGTTAGAGCGTCCGCCCGGAGAGCGGAAGGTCGCGGGTTCGATCCCCTACCGCGTCATACCATAAGACGTTAAAATATGGTACTTGTTGGTCCCTGCCTGGCGCTCGGCATTAATGGGTACAACAAGGACTGGTCGGCTCGAAGTCAGTATAATGTGTCTGAGTGGGGTATTCATGCTTCACTGCAGCATGGTATCTCAGTGGGCTAGCACTATAAAACCAGCTTCAGTCTGGGCTAGTACAAGCAACCGCACATACACATACACACGCACGCACGTCGTCATATGAGCGAAATATTCTCAAGCACGACGTAAAACCCAATTTCACCTCACCTCACCTCATTCACTATCCAAGATGTTATTTGTTTAAGATGTTTTAGATAAGTTGTTTAATATGTTTCAGATAAGTTGTCCGAAACATTCAGGAAGTTACACTTCGATGTTCAGTTTCACAATCAACTCAATGATGCACAATTTACGCGTGTGATACGACGTGTAGCAAGTGTAGACCACGAGACATTTGATTGCGTGGTCGTATTTATTACCGCCCACGGGGACGACGATGTCGTGTTTACCGTCGACGACAGGTCTTTTTGTATAGATGAATTAGCTAGTCACTTCAAGCCTGAAAACTGTCCATCTCTGGCTGGTAAACCCAAGTTGTTCTTTATAGAGGCCTGCCGGGGAGAAGATAAGCAACACGGTAAGTGGAACGACTGTTTTCACGGTGATTAAATTGGTTTGTTGATTTGTAGTTTAACGCCGCACTCAGCAATACTCCAGCTCCATGGTGGCGGTGGTTTAACCTCACAGAGCCCGCCAGCTGTATGTTATTTAGTGGGGGCGGGTTGTGACAAGATATTAACAGGCTCTGAGCCCCAGCAGCTAATTAGTCACTGTAATTAAACTGTGTTTAATCAACAAATCAAATTATTTTGAAGAATATATAAGTGAGTTGATTTCATGTAAGTAAATGATTGAAACTCATGGTAAGAGTGGGTTCTCCGTTAGAGTGACATGTGTCAAATGAATTCCTTACATAAACCAACTCCCGGTCATTCTCTGGCATACATGCATTGTTCAATTTGTTGGTGTATAAGTGAAATGGTGATGCAAATGCGAATATCATGTTTCATGTATCATGTGTGAATGTTATATGTGTGGTACAATAAATTTCAGAACAGGTTGTACTTAATCCCTTGTAAATCCCCCATTGTCAATTAGTTAACCACGGGTGACTGCTTCACACCCTGAAACAAAGGCAGGGGGCACATTGAGGTACCCCCGCGGCGGTCTGTTAATAATCGAACCTGGACCAGAAAATCCAGTGATCAACAGCACGAACTACCAATTTGGATACGATGACATGTGACGACGAAGTCAGCGAGCCTGTCAAGTCGATCCCGCTAGTCGTCTCTTACGACAAACATGGGTTACTGAAGACCAGTTCTATCCTGGGTCAGACCGTATTACTGGGTGCGGCGTTAGAGAACAAACAAATCCACGGTCCCTTCTTTGTATTTCAGCCCTCAAACTGGTGGACACTGTCGACGCATCTGGGGCCACACGATTCCCAAATGAAGCTGATTTCTTTTTCGGCTACTCAACTGTGAAATCCTTTGTTACCTACAACGGGTGGTACAGGAAACTTGTTGCAGATACATTTGATCAAAAGGCCGAACGGTAACTTTTCTTGTGCTCACGTGACCTTTGCTTAATTAATGAACGTTTCGCATGTTTGTCTACATTGAACCATGTATTCTTTTGATAGAAGCAAACAATTCCTTTTAAACTGAAAAGGAGCCCCAGTGAGAAGGGAGTGTCTTGAACCAGAGCAAATGTAGACTTGCTTCAAGTAGCGCTCTAACATGTGCTAGGCTTAAAGGAAAATAATGCGGTTCAGGGACTGTGAGACAGACTTTGAACCATTGAAACCATCAAATTTATCTTTTACGATGAGTAGCCCAGTTATTAAAGTGTTCGCTCGTCACGCCGAAGACCCGAGTTCATCCTATCATGGTACAATGCGTGAAGCCCATTTCTGGTGTCCCCGGCCGTGATATTGCTGGAATATTGCTAAAAGCGGCGTAAAACTATTCAGTTCACAATTACCTGGACATTAACTGGGCACATTGGACATAGGGGCTTTTCGAAGTTTCAAACTCAAGACTTGGCGTGTTACCATGCTAAAATTACAGGGTATATTTCCTAACTGTTCACAGTGACCACCTTTTGGATATGATGACCGAGGTCAATCGCAAGATGTCGGAACTTGAGCACTTGGATGACGACGGGTCGCTCACCATCCAGACATCGGAGATGACTAGTCGTCTCAGAAGAAAGGTCTTCTTCAACCCAGAGACCTGATTACCACTCTCGGAGTGGCCCATGAATGATACAGCGAGTGAATGAGCTTTCCACTGACTTTAACAATATTTCAGGATCACCAGGGAGTGTTTGCGTGCGACGAACACAGGACGTGACGGGAGGTCGTACGGGTTCTACAGGGTATATGCGATACTATTCCTACAGCATCGTTTGTTATCAACGCAAATTGATTATTATCAAGTTTTTGTTTTTTTTATTTTCTTTAATAAATTCGAATTATCTGCGCATTCTTCGTTTTCCAAAGTCTTAATTTCTAAAGTCATATTTCAAATGACTGCAATGTAAGTGAGTGTAACGACACCTTGAACAGTATTTCAGTTATTCCTGTACAACACTCGCAGACTGTTGAGGTTTACATGGACAGCTCATTCGGACAACGTACTAGTAGTACACCTTTCCTAGTAAGGTACAGGTTCTTGTACTTTTGTTGGGTTGAGTCCCATCCGGGATTCGAACCCGCGTTTACACCCCCCAGGCACCTAATCGCAAGCACACAAAGTCAGCCACCTAACCCGCTCGGCCACCGCTACTTCCACAAGTGAGGGTGAGTGTTCGAATCCGGATGGAACACAACCCAACAAAAATGCAAGATTCTGTACTTTACTAATAAAGTGTAACCCCAAATATAACATATGTTACATTTAACTACTTTCTAAATGGCATTGTGTAATCATAGTAGTACACTGACGGGTATTCCATTCATCCGTTACATGCCGAACGCCAAGTCGGGAAGTAATTATCATCTTATAACGTAATTACGTTGAACTCGTCGGGGATCGAGCCACAACATTCCGATATCCGGGCTGATGTTCATCGATACAGTAAAGCTCAGAAAGAACAGCTAACAAGCAGTGTCTCACACACGGTGTCTCCTCTCATTAGTTGCCATGGCATCCGTAAACTCCTCGGAGAAAACAACACAAGTCAATCAAGGATGAATAGAAGTATTTACTTCAGACGCGTACGCATTGTGAAAACCTGTATAGAGGTTCGTCTCTGACAATATGGTAGTTGGTCCATCATGTTTGACTAGAAGGACACCTGACAGTAACTGAGACTAGCATCCACAACCAGTACTGAGGTAACTAGGGCTGCGCAGTATAACCGGTTTACCGGTATTTACCGGTTCAGACATGAAAATGATACGTATTGCGATACGCTGATCGAAAACCGGTATTTTGACTTCCATTCGGAAAACTTCGTAACACTCGGAAATCTTCGGATATTTCCTTGTTTTATTTGTGCCAAATATTATTTACATTTTTAATGTCATGATTAAAAGTTTTTATTAAGGCTTAATCAAACAGTGATTGTGTTGTGTTCATGCTTTATAAATCAAGCATTAACTCGATTATACGTATTTTTCTGTTTTAAAATTCTTCTTGCAATATATTGCAATACATATCGCAATATATGCTTTCGCATCGCAATATGAAAATTCTCTGCAATACCCACCCCTAGAGGTCACACAAGGCCAAACGTATACAACGGAACACAGATATCTTCAACCGACCTACACTAACACATATGCTTCCTAGGAGGTTCAAATGGAAATATCTGGAGATTTACCACTTGCAACCCACCATCAAGAGTATAGTGCTGACAAACCCAGAAACATAGTCAGAGCAAACTGGGATTCGAACCCAAGACCATACATGTTGTGTGCCCAAGGAACGGAACTCTACACACCAAATAGCTGCGCCTCGTGGGCAACACATTTACACCAGTAACGTTCTCGAAGCCATTTTGCAACTTGAATGAGTGAGTGAATAAAGTTTAATGCCAGCAATATCACGCCTGAAATGGCTTTTACACCTTGTACTCAGGTGGGAAATCGCACACGGATCTTCGGTGTGACGAGTGACGTTTTCACCACATGGCCACTCCAGTTCCCTGCAGCTTGTTTCGCTCATGAACAAAGTTTTATGGATGCAGTTCAAAGCATCTGAAACTGATGGTAGCCAGTCGATAGTGTGATCATCCAAAACACGAATGCCTACTAGATCGACAAAAAATGTTATCTGGAACTTAACTTTGGATTTGGGAATTACTAGCCCTTGTACAGCTTCTGTAGAGGAACGTTACAGCAAATCGTATCGCGATGTGTGATAAATAAAGTTCACTATAGGTCAGTCTGTAAATACATGAATCCTGAACTGACAACATAATGATCGACATTTTCTCCAACATGAATATGGATCTAGTGACATGCATCAAGCATTGGTTGCCATATCCCAACTGCAAACTTGGATCTTCACCGTAGTGAGAAAGCATACAATTTCCGAAGTTTTTTCAGTTAATTTAAAAACTTAGGAAACTTGATTAGATCAAGAAAGACGTAACAGGCTTGTATAATATATTTTCTATTTCTGATGATACAGTAACACGCATAATAAATCATTTCTATATTCTATCGGGGCTGCAATGACACACACCATCTCCAGTACATAATCCTTCAACTCCTGGATGCTTTCAAAGATCATCCGTTTCTGGCACATCTTAACTCCACACAGATTATGGCACCTAAAACAATTTGGAAACCCGTTCCTTTTGACAGAAAAAATGTATGATGTTAATATTTACGGAGAAATGGCCCATCACATGAGACAATGACAGACAAGATGCAAGGGTGTCACAGTTTTAAAAGACGGTGCACTAGAATTCCACGTTGCTCTCAGAAATTGAGTGAGTGAGTACGGTTTTACGCCACTTTTAGCAATGTACCAAAAATATCAAGACTCGCAAGGTACACAAGGAATTGGCTTTATAAACCACCTAGATACGCCAAAACCCCTTAAGCCATTGAGTAGCAATGCATGTCATTCTGACTGCGCTCTGTACTATTCTCTTGATACATTTAACTTTCAACAGCCCCAGAATATTGGACTTCTGAAACAATAGTAGACCCTTTTCTAAATAATTACTTTCCCCTGTTCATGGCTCAATTGGTCACAAGCACTGCTCACAAAAACGACATATCCCGAAGTTAAAACCGTACGCATTTCATCTGGAACTTTGGTGCACAACATCCATGAGAACAATCGCCCACCCTGCATTACATGGCACACATGACATTGGCATACATGAAGACATATCCAACAAATAGCACTAGACTAGATACTATCATCCAACTGACTTAAAAATCCATGTTTTCACTCATTTCTACGTAATACCTAACACCAGAAAGTGGAGTTTATTACATTCCACTAGGGGTGAAACGGAACGCTCTTACCAGGCCTTCGGTTGTTCCGTTTCGGTTCCGTATATGACATATGATCGTAATGCAGAAGATTGACAAAAAGAGTCAAACCTTACATTGTTTAATAACATAGAAAAACAAATAACCACAATCTGTTGGATGATCAAAACGATCATTTTATGACTAAATAGAAATGAAAACGAAAATACCGAACCTTTGGATTGCATTACGGTATACCTAACCGAAGGCAAATTAACGTTGTTCTAGTAATACAGCAGTATACCATTTCACCCCTACATTCCACAGAGCAATCAGGCACGTTTTACGTTACCACCTACAACAACACTAAATGCTTTATTTGTTTGCATAAGATTAACCAATACAAAAGCAAAGCTCATATAACCAATTTATATTCTTGTTGCGATTGCATATTTATCCTTCGATGAACAACAGCTACATAACATAGCATCTATCAAATGTTCATCACTAGCATCAGGTCGCCTGGACCCAACTAAAATATCTGGATACAAATGGACAACTGCGGATTCTGTGAAAGCTGCAAAAGGTAATGTTTTCATCAAAACACACTCAAATATACTTAAAAACAACCAATCATGTAAGCAGAGTGTGCAAAACCTGCCACCAAAGCTAAGTTTATAGACTTATATCTCTACTGTTCATCAAACACATTGAAATATGCTTTAAACAGGCCCGTTAGCTTGTATGCAAAAACAGAAGCAGCCCCTCTAAAGCTACTCATTCACAGCAGCGTTTGAAATAGCAACTGGCCCGTTAGCCAAATGATAGCTGATTGTGAATCGGGCCAGTAACATATAGAGAAAGCTATCCTGACTGGCCAGGTGAGAATCTCAGATAATTTGTTCTTTATTGTTCTTTATGAACATGAATATGATGAAGTCAATTATTAAGGTGATAAGTTTCGAAAGTTTCATGATATTTAATATATCTTGTCACACGAAGATCAGTATTTAACATGCATTGTCACTAAGGTGACAAAATCCCCCGCCGCAAATTATCAAATCAAACTTAAAAAGAAATGAAAGTGAAGGTCGTAATTTAAGATAAAGTTAAATGTAAACAAAAACATGACGAGTCAACCTCTCTTGATATCTTGCTCTGTAGTTGTTCAAAAGCACAAATATTTTCAAGACTCACTTTGACCTTGACATGAATGTCTTAGTGTATGAAATATGCAAAAATAGTAATAATGAAATTGCTTATTGAAAAACATTCAAGGGAAATCTTGAAAGTCTATGAAGAAAATACAGTGAACTGTTCTTGAGATATCTCGCTGACAATCTTAACATGCAGTTTAACATGCTGAAATCTTCAGAGTGTCGCATTGACCTTGAAAATTAGGTGAAGGTCACCAAATTTGACTGGAACTTGCACCGTCCCTAGATGAAGCTTGGTGTCAAATATGAAGAAAGTCCATTGAATGGTTCTTTAGATATCTCGCTGACAATCTTTACATGCAGGTTAACATGCTGAAGTCTTCAAAGTGTCCCGTGACCTTGAAAATTAAGTGAAGGTCACCAGATGAAGCTTGGTGTGAAATGTGAAGAAAGTCCAGTGAATGGTTCTCGAGATATCTCGCTGACAATCTTTACATGCAGGTTAACATGCTGAAATCTTCAGTGTCGCCGTGACCTTGCAAATTAGGTGAAGGTCACCAAAATCGACTGGGCCCTGCACCTTCCCTACATAAAGCTTGGTGTCAAATATGAAGAAAATCCAGTGAACGGTTCTTGACAAATAAGCTGACAAGGTTACACGTTAAAGTGACCTTGAAATGAAGGTCAAGGTCACCAAACCTGACTGGGACCTTTCTTTCACTGTGATGAACCTAGGTACCAAATATAAAAGAATCCAGTCAACGGTTCTTAAGATATTCCAATTCGTACGGATGGACGGAGCCTAATACTATATCACCCGCTTCGCGCTAAACGTGCCGGCGGGGATAAAAAATGTTAATAGCATTGCGCCAAAGAGGTTAGGAACCATTAAAATACAAATGTTTGACATCTTCAATTAGCAAACATGACACCAATTCTGACCGATGTGCATTTTTATATTGATATTTTGCCGAGCTAGTAAGTAGGATGTGGACTAGCAACAATTATACTTAACTAGCCCCTCTGGCTAGTGACTTTTCAAAATTAATTCACACAGTGATTCAGAGTTACTCCAGCCTTAATATACCACCCTGACTTTACCTTCAGACTTTGACTTTGGTTGGACCTTGTAGGATTTGTTACTAAACATGCAAATGATGTTTCAATATGTCGCCAAAGATTGATGACATAACAATGTTTTTTCAAAACCTGAAAGCTGACCTTGGGTTTAGATTTTCACATAACAAGACAAACAGCTTACCACTATGTCATAAGTAAAAGACAAAACATTAAAGAAGTTCAGTTCCTGAAACTGCTTTTTACCTGCAAGCTTGCCATCAACTTATGCATTTGCAAGAAAAACATTATATGGTAGCTTCCCTGAGGGCTGATAGTTGGTATTATTAAGAGAAACGCATTACGTTTTTTTCAGAGAAGTGTGGTGTGACATTGTACCTTTAAACATTGAATGTTTTCTGTTGCAATGGATTAAAACAATGTCAAAATTTGCAAGAAATTCAAATCGACATGAAGGAAACAGTAATATATGACAACTGTACAGTCTGGTTTTAATGCCACTGGTCATCACGTGAACACAGATATAATATCATCTGTTGAGTGGAAAGGATTTCAGCACTATTGACTGACCTTTCCCAAAATGCCAACCTGATTATAATGCTTTTTTTCCTGACAAATGATGAAATCTCATCTTAGACACATTTTACAAATATGGAAGAACCGTGGACCAATTATGCTCATGGAGTGAGCGAATATGGCATAATAAGCCTGGGGCAGACGAACCAGTGACTGAGACCATGGCCAGGAATGCAATCTTGCTGCTCTCTACTGCTAAAACAAGACCTGAGGACATCTGAAGTCGCCATCAGCTAATTACAAAGTAGCATTCTTGAGATACATGGCGACATCCAGTTTGAAAAATATTTAACAAAGTTCTTGATTCAAAACTCTAAAACTGGACCAAGGAATATTCTGACATATCAGATGGCCGAGACGGAATGGATTTTAATGAGACCAAATGTTGACCCATTGGGGTGATATGATACAGCTACGTCCAATAGTTTGACCATCCAATCCACAATGCAGCTATCTGGGTATGCTGATACAGATGTATCCAAGAGTTTGACCATCCAATCCATGATCCAGCTATCTGGGTATGATGATACAGATGTATCCAATAGTTTGACCATCCAATCCACGATTCAGCTATCTGGGTATGATGATACAGATGTATCCAATAGTTTGACCATCCAATCCACAATCCAGCTATCTGGGTATGATGATACAGATGTATCCAATAGTTTGACCATCCAATCCACGATTCAGCTATCTGGGTATGATGATACAGATGTATCCAATAGTTTGACCATCCAATCCACGATCCAGCTATCTGGGTATGATGATACAGATGTATCCAAGAGTTTGACCATCCAATCCACAATCTAATCTTTTCTTTGTCGGGATTTCCATGCTTTTAAAAATACAGAAACGTAACAAATATGTAACAAAACAATCCCTCCCCCATTAGTGTGCCATGATTAAACAGTGATATATATCTGTAAAGATATATATACATCAGCCTGTACGACTGGTAACCTGCATTACCATGGTTGATAGCCAGTCGACATGAGGAATCTAGATCATGCGTCTCGTAGTGCCTGGAATCAAAGAAAAGAAAAATATAATGTGCTGAATGTTTTGCTACATATGGTCACGAGACAAATGTTCTGCTACATGCTGTATATTGAGGCAAATGTTCTGCTAATGTTCTGTTATACAGTGTATCATGAGGTAAATGTTCTGCTACACAATGTGTAATGACATGTTCCGCTACAGTGTATAATGAGGACAATGTTCTGCTACACACTGTATGAGAATGTTCTGCTACACACTGTATAATGAGAATGTTCTGCTACAATGTATAATGAGAATGTTCTGCTACACACTGTATGAGAATGTTCTGCTACAATGTATAATGAGAATGTTCTGCTACACACTGTACAATGAGAATGTTCTGCCACACACTGTACAATGAGAATGTTCTGCTACACACTGAATAATGAGGTAAATGTTCTGTTATACAGTGTATCATGAGGTAAATGTTCTGCTACACAATGTGTAATGACATGTTCCGCTACAATGTATAATGAGAATGTTCTGCTATACACTGTATAATGAGAATGTTCTGCTGAACACTGTATAATGAGAATGTTCTGCTACACACGGTATAATGAGAATGTTCTGTTATACACTGTATAATGAGGTAAATGTTCTGCTACACACCATATAATGAGGTAAATGTTCTGCTAAACACTTAAAGGTGAGAATGTTGTGCTACACACTGTTTAACTGACTGACTGAGTTTGGTACGTTTTACGCCGCTTTCAGCAATATTCCAGCAACATCACGGCAGGGGACACCATGTATAATGAGAATGTTCTGCTACACACTGTATAATGAGAATGTTTTGCTACACACTGTTTAATGAGAATGTTCTGCAACACACTGTATAATGAGGTCATGTTCTGTTATACAGTGTATCATGAGGTAAATGTTCTGCTACACAATGTGTAATGAGAATGTTCTGCTACACACTGTATAATGAGAATGTTCTGCTAAACACTGTATAATGAGAATGTTCTGCTACACACTGTGTATAATGAGAACTGTAATGAGAATGTTCTGCTAAACACTGTATAATGAGAATGTTCTGCTAAACACTGTATAATGAGAATGTTCTGCTAAACACTGTATAATGAGAATGTTCTGCTAAACACTGTATAATGAGAATGTTCTGCTACACACTGTATGAGAATGTTCTGCTACACACTGTATAATGAGGTCATGTTCTGTTATACAGTGTATCATGAGGTAAATGTTCTGCTACACAATGTGTAATGAGAATGTTCTGCTACACACTGTATAATGAGAATGTTCTGCTAAACACTGTATAATGAGAATGTTCTGCTAAACACTGTATAATGAGAATGTTCTGCTAAACACTGTATAATGAGAATGTTCTGCTACACACTGTATGAGAATGTTCTGCTACACACTGTATGAGAATGTTCTGCTAAACACTGTATGAGAATGTTCTGCTACACACTGTATAATGAGAATGTTCTGCTAAACACTGTATGAGAATGTTCTGCTACACACTGTATAATGAGGTAATGTTCTGTTATACAGTGTATCATGAGGTAAATATTCTGTAAATATTCTGCTACACAATGTGTAATGACATGTTCCGCTACAGTGTATAATGAGGAGAATGTTCTGCTAAACACTGTATAATGAGAATGTTGTGCTACACTGTATAATGAGAATGTTCTGCTAAACACTGTATAAAGAATGTTCTGTACACAATGAGAATGTTCTGCTACACACTGTATAATGAGAATGTTCTGCTACACACTGTATGAGAATGTTCTGCTACACACTGTATAATGAGAATGTTCTGCTACACACTGTATAATGAGAATGTTCTGCTAAACACTGTATAATGAGAATGTTCTGCTAAACACTGTATAATGAGAATGTTCTGCTACACACTGTATGAGAATGTTCTGCTAAACACTGTATAATGAGAATGTTCTGCTACACACTGTATAATGAGAATGTTCTGCTACACACTGTATGAGAATGTTCTGCTAAACACTGTATAATGAGAATGTTCTGCTACAATGTATAATGAGAATGTTCTGCTAAACACTGTATAATGAGAATGTTCTGTTACACACTGTATAATGAGGTAAATGTTCTGCTACACACTGTATGAGAATGTTCTGCTAAACACTGTATAATGAGAATGTTCTGCTACACACTGTTTAATGAGAATGTTCTGCAACACACTGTATAATGAGGTAAATGTTCTGCTACACACTGTATAATGAGGAGAATGTTCTGCTGAACACTGTATAATGAGAATGTTCTGCTACACACGGTATAATGAGAATGTTCTGTTATACACTGTATAATGAGGTAAATGTTCTGCTACACACCATATAATGAGGTAAATGTTCTGCTAAACACTGAAAGGTGAGAATGTTGTGCTACACACTGTTTAACTGACTGACTGAGTTTGGTTTTACGCCGCTTTCAGCAATATTCCAGCAACATCACGGCAGGGGACACCAGAAATGGGCTTCACACATTGTACCCATGTGGGGATTAGAACCCGGGTCTTCGGCGTGACGAGCTAACGCTTTGACCACTAGGCTACCCCACCGCCCCCACACTGTTTAATGAGAATGTTCTGCAACACACTGTATAATGAGGTAAATGTTCTGCTACACACTGTATAATGAGGAGAATGTTCTGCTGAACACTGTATAATGAGAATGTTCTGCTACACACGGTATAATGAGAATGTTCTGTTATACACTGTATAATGAGGTAAATGTTCTGCTACACACCATATAATGAGGTAAATGTTCTGCTAAACACTGAAAGGTGAGAATGTTGTGCTACACACTGTTTAACTGACTGACTGAGTTTGGTTTTACGCCGCTTTCAGCAATATTCCAGCAACATCACGGCAGGGGACACCAGAAATGGGCTTCACACATTGTACCCATGTGGGGATTCGAACCCGGGTCTTCGGCGTGACGAGCTAACGCTTTGACCACTAGGCTACCCCACCGCCCTCACACTGTTTAATGAGAATGTTCTGCAACACACTGTATAATGAGGTAAATGTTCTGCTACACACTGTATAGTGAGGTTCTGTGACAGTGTATAATGAGGAGAATGTTCTGCTACACAGTATAGAATGGATAAATGTTAAGCAACAAAGTACATAATGAGTAAATGTTTGTATACAGTTTATCATGAGAGCAATGTTCTGCTCCAGAGTTTCATGAGAAAAATATGTCATTGTGACATTGGTAAGGACTCACTTTTCTTGCAAACTCTGGGAGCACAAATGCTGCTTTATGGATTGCAGTGTTGTAATACTTGAGTTTCAGCTTCTCACCCTGCTCTTGGCTCAAAGCATTGATTGGGTCCTCAAAGTTCATATCCTGGCAATAACAATCGTATCAATTCAACAAATAAACAAATTATGCTCGTATAATGGTGAGATGAGAGAGGTGATTGGTGTTCAGCATCCCGTTTAAGATCCATGTACTTATACACTGACGTATGGTGCATGTGTGTGTCTGTGTTTTGGCCAGTTGACTAATATGAGGCTTGCACTGGTGTTAACTGAAAATGTAAAATGCAACACTATATTTACATCAACTTTCACAAAGTGCATGAAAATATGTCAGAACTGGTTTGGAGCAGTCACTCTGATAACTACACAGAAAGTGATTGAATGAAGTTGTAAGTTGTTATTGTGATATTGATTCAGACTTACTGGGTTCAGACTGCACAACACAAAGCCAATCTGGCCACTGGGATAGGTTGGTATCGTGGTATAACTGTAGCTGACAGAGGGGTAGATGGTCTTACAAAAGTCCAGCATATTCCGGATGAGATCCAAATGAAGCCACACACACTCTCCTGCAATCAGAGATTAGCTAACAGATGTCATGATTTTTGCTGGAATACATATCATAGTTCATGTAGCGGACATAAAATGTCTGAGTCCCGTGCTGAGATTCGAACCACGAACCTTCTAATCCGAAGTCGGATGCCTTGTCCACATGACCAAAGAGGTTAACCCTGTCAGCAAGCTGACAAGGTAAGGATGTCATCAGTGGGATGACTCCACGCCCTGCTACATACTCCCCCGTCAACAGAAGGCACGTCCCAAGCCGCATAGTTGGGTACAGAGACTTTGCTCAAATTTGATATGAACGTGCTCAGCCCCACGTTGGGCGCCAACCACGAACCTTCTAATCTGAAGTCGGACGCCTTGTCGCCTATGGTCACGAGACAAACATTGTCGCCTCTTACGACAAGCATGGGTTACTGAGGATCAATATTCAAACCCGGACCTTCATTGGTCGCAGAAGAGAGGACTCACCTTGACTACATAAGATGCCGCCTGGTCTGAGGGCCTTCTTCATCAGTTCATAGTAGGACTTCTCAAACAGTGATGATGCAGGGCCTGAAACATGACCTGCATTGTGAACACACAACCATAGTTGCCACTTCCACCTCCTTGCCACAGCACAGCAGCAATACATCTACTACAGCGCAGCCACAGCAGCGCAGCCACAGCAGCAATACATCTACTACAGAGCAGCCACAGCAGCAATACATCTACTACAGCACAGCCACAGCAGCAGCCACAGCAGCAAGCAATACATCTACTACAGAGCATCTAATACATCTACTACAGCAGCAGCCACAGCAGCAATACATCTACTACAGCACATCCTACAGCAGCAATACATCTACTACACAGCAGCAAGCACACCCACAGCACAGCAGCAATACATCTACTGGCACAGCCACAGCAGCAATACATCTACTACAGCACAGCCACAGCAGCAATACATCTACTACAGCACAGCCACAGCAGCAATACATCTAGCAGCAACAGCACTACAGCACATAGCAGCAATACATCTACTACAGCACAGCCACAGCAGCAATACATCTACTACAGCACAGCCACAGCAAGCAGCACAGCCACAGCAGCAATGCATCTACTACAGCACAGCCACAGCAGCAATACATCTACTACAGCACAGCCACAGCAGCAATACATCTACTACAGCACAGCCACAGCAGCAATACATCTACTACAGCACAGCCACAGCAGCAATACATCTACTACAGCACAGCCACAGCAGCAATACATCTACTACAGCACAGCCACAGCAGCAATACATCTACTACAGCACAGCCACAGCAGCAATACATCTACTACAGCACAGCCACAGCAGCAATACATCTACTACAGCACAGCCACAGCAGCAATACATCTACTACAGCACAGCCACAGCAGCAATACATCTACTACAGCACAGCCACAGCAGCAATACATCTACTACAGCACAGCCACAGCAGCAATACATCTACTACAGCACAGCCACAGCATCTAAACATCTACTACAGCACAGCACAGCCACATACATCACTACATCTACTACAGCAGCGGCACATCTACAGCAGCAATAGCATCTACTACAGCACAGCCACAGCAGCAATACATCTACTACAGCACAGCCACAGCAGCAGCATCTACTTACACAGCACAGCCACAGCAGCAATACATCTAGCCACACAAGCACAGCCACAGCAGCAATAGCATCTACTACAGCACAGCCACAGCAGCAATACATCTACATCTACAGCACAGCCACAGCAGCAATACATCTACTACAGCACAGCCACAGCAGCAATACATCTACTACAGCAGCATCTACACAGCGGCAATACATCTACTACAGCACAGCCACAGCAGCAATACATCTACTACAGCACAGCAGCAATACATCTACTACAGCACAGCCACAGCAGCAATACATCTACTACAGCACAGCCACAGCAGCAATACATCTACTACAGCACAGCCACAGCAGCAATACATCTACTACAGCACAGCCACAGCAGCAATACATCTACTACAGCACAGCCACAGCAGCAATACATCTACTACAGCACACCCACAGCATCTACATCTACTATGCCAACAGCAGCAATACATCTACTACAGCACAGCCACAGCAGCAATACATCTACTACAGCACAGCCACAGCAGCAATACATCTACTACAGCACAGCCACAGCCACAGCAGCAATACATCTACTACAGCACAGCCACAGCAGCAATACATCTACTACACAGCACAGCCACAGCAGCAATACATCTACTACAGCATCAGCCACAGCAGCAATACATCTACTACAGCACAGCCACAGCAGCAATACATCTACTACAGCAGCACAGCCACAGCAGCAATACATCTACTGCACAGCACAGCCACAGCAGCAATACATCTACTACAGCACAGCCACAGCAGCAATACATCTCTACACAGCACAGCCACAGCAGCAATACATCTACTACAGCACAGCCACAGCAGCAATACATCTACTACAGCACAGCCACAGCAGCAATACATCTACTACAGCAGCACCACAGCAGCAATACATCTACACAGCAGCAACACAGCATCTACTACAGCACAGCACAGCCACAGCAGCAACAGCATCTACTACAGCACAGCCACAGCAGCAATACATCTACTACAGCACAGCCACAGCAGCAATACATCTACTACAGCACAGCCACAGCAGCAATACATCTACTACAGCACAGCCACAGCAGCAATACATCTACTACAGCACAGCCACAGCAGCAATACATCTACAGCACACAGCACATCTACCACAGCAGCAATACATCTACTACAGCACAGCCACAGCAGCAATACATCTACTACAGCACACCCACAGCATCTAAACATCTACTATGCCAACAGCAGCAATACATCTACTACAGCACAGCACAGCACATCTACTACAGCACAGCCACAGCAGCAACCATCTACTACAGCACACCCACAGCATCTAAACATCTACTATGCCAACAGCAGCAATACATCTACTACAGCACAGCTACAGCAGCAATACATCTACTACAGCACAGCCACAGCAGCAAAACATCTACTACAACAGCAGCAATACATCTACTACAGCAGCACACTACCACACAGCAGAACCACAGCTTCTAAACATATACTATGCCAACAGCAGCAATACATCTATTACAGCATGATGCTAACCAACAAACACATAAACTAAAAAGCAACATTGTGCCACGTCTGGTGACCAGTGCAGTGGTGTTCAAGCAGAGAAGGTGATCCTGCATGACTGATGGATTGATTGATTGTTTTATGCCTCACTCAGCAATATCCCAGCCATATGGCGGCGGTCTGTAAATAATCGTGTCTGGACCAGACAATCCAGTGATTAGCATTATGAGCATCGATCTACGCAATTATGTTATGATGACTTGTGTCAACCACGTCAGTAAACCTGACCACCCGATCCTGTTAGTCGCCTCTTACGACAAGCATGGGTAGCTGACAATTCTTATCCGGATATTCCCGGGTGATTCTGCATGATTGTAAGATGTGTTAGACAGAATATAGCTACAACCTGCCATCATGGGAAAATGTCCCCAAGTGAGTGAGTGAGTTTAGTTTTACGCTGATTTTAGCGATATTCCAGCAATATCACAGCAGGGAACACCTACAATGGGGTTCACACATTGTGCCAATGAAAGGGAATCGAACCCAGGTCTCCGGCGTGACGAGCTAACATTTTAACCACTAGGCTATCCCACCGCCCCTTAATGTCCCGAAGATATCACTTCATCCTAGGCAATACCCGCAACACTCACAGCTCCTGCCAACTACACTGTGTCTCACCTATAGGATCGCTGGAGTCAGTGATGATGACATCAAACTCTCCATGGTGTTTGCCCATGAAGTCGAAGCCATCATGAATATGGAGATTCAAGCGGGGATTAGCAAAGCTGCTTGACATCTCAGGTAAATATTCTTTACTTACTTCTATAACTTTCTGAAAAACAATAATGTGATGTCAAGTGATTTGTTGCAAGAATTTGATGTCCACCATCATCAGTATTTTATCTTTGTCACAGTGGCCTGTATTACCCATGTCTCAACAGCTTAATATTACCCATGTCAACAAGAGTCATCAGAGGATGACATATCCCCCCGGCCCACACATATATGAAAGAACAAATCATCTGACAGTTACTTAAAGTCCAGCTTGACCTTTTTTAAACTAAGTCCAAATCATTTTCATGGAAATCACGAGAAATATAAATGCCAAAAATCTGTAAATAGCAAAAGGCACCATTTCAACATTTGCCTAATATATCTACCAATTTCTGTTGAAAGATACTGAACGCTTTTTGAGTTGTGCACAGGAAATGAAGCCCACCCCTCCCTTTTGGGACTAAGTCCTAACCGTTTCCATGGAAACCAGGAAAGATAAATATGCCAAAAAATCTGTCAAATAGCAAAAGGCACCACTCTGGCATCTGCCTCACATATCTGCCAAGTTTTGCTGAAAGATATTAAGAAGTTTTCCAGTTGTGCTCCGGAAACGAAGCCCACCCCTCCCTTTTGGCACTAAGTCCGAATCGTTTCCATGGAAACTGGGATAAACAAAAATGCTAAAAATCTGCAAATAGCAAAAGGCACCACTTAAGGTTCTGTTTGATATATCTCCCAAGTTTTGTTGAAATATATTGAACGGTTCGTGAGTTATGCTCCCGGGGGCATAATTATTCTGTCAACATGTTATCAAATGCATCAGGAAAAGAATATGTTTGGCTCTCTCTTGAAGAAGAGAATGGAAACACTATGTTTAGACTCGGACAAGAAAAATATTCTTTTGATCTCAAACACATTGTGTCAACTCAAGGTCCTGTATCTCTTGGAAATGCACAAGCGAACATGCTAACGTCATTGGTCTCACACACGTCACTTGTCTCCACATCGGGGTCTGTCCATTACACAGAAATACACAAGTGGACATGCTTACCTCATCGATCTCACACATGTCAACTCTCTCGACCTCAGGGTGTTTCAGGACCTCACGGGCCACTCCCCCATCACCACCCCCGATGATCAACACCTGAAGAAAGTTTAACAAATATGTTATCTATTGTCATCGCTATAAGTCTATGATATTGACATTATTACTGGATTGCCACAACCACACAGGAGAAATGTACAAAGTTCATTTGAAATAACTTACCAAGAAATCATCCCAATGTTATACATATACTCTTTTCAATCTTTTTCAACATAATAGTTTGTTTATTTGTTGCAGCAGTCAACTATAAGACAGCACCCTAAGGAAAATAAAATCAGGAGCAGATGATCCAATGATTGACTGACTGAGTTTGGTTTTACGCCGCTTTTAGCAATATTCCAGCAATATCACGGCGGGGGTCACCAGAAATGGGCTTCACTCATTGAACCCATGTGGGGATTCGAACCCGGGTCTTCGGCGTGACGAGCCAACGCTTTAACCACTAGACTACCCCACCGCCCCTCCAATGATTGATATCAAGAGAAATGATTTATAGGCAGAGTCTAATGAGAGGAAATAAATAATACCATTTAGTCTGACTGGATGATCTGGTGACCTCTTACAATGAGAATAGGCTGCTCGGGATCAGTTCCAACAGGAACCACACAGGGAACAGCAAGTTTTTTTGTTGTCTTATGCCATACTCAAGAGACAAATGAAGATCTGGGTTAGAATTGGTCTTCAGTAACCCATGCTTGCCGTAAGAGGCGACTAACGGGATCGGGTGGTCAGCCTCGCTGACTTTGTTGACATATGCTATTATATCCCAATTGCGTAGAAGCGATGCTCATGATGTTGATCACTGGATTGTCTGGTCCAGACTAAATTATTACAGACCGCCGCCATAAAGCTGTAATACTACTGAGTGAATCTTTAAACAACAAACCAATCAACCATACTCAAGCTCAGGTTTCTGATATCAAGAGAATCAATCAGCAGAATGTTTCATTTTTTTTACATGATCACCCTACCAACCAATGCAGGGCTTGATTTAAGCGATGTTAACCTACTTGCACCAGTTGCAAACTAAGATAACAAGAGTCATCAAAAGATGACAAATCCCCCCGGCCCCCATAAATTTGAAAAAACAAATCAACTGACAGTTACTCCAAATCCAACTTGATTATATTTTTACTAGGTCCAAATTGTTTCCACGGAAATCATGAAAAAAAAATGCCAAACAATCTGCAAATAGCAAAAGGCAATACTTCAAGATCTGTTTGATATATCTGTCAAGTCTTGTAGAAAGATATTGAACGGTTTTCGAGTTGTGATCCAGAACGAAACCCACCCCTCCCTTTTGAGACTAAGTCTGAATCATTTCCTTGGAAACCGAGAAAATAATAACTCATAAAAATCTGTAAATAGTAAAAGACACCACTTTAGGTTCTGTTTGATATATCAACCAAATTTCGTTTAAAAGAATCGAACAGTTTTTGAGTTATGCTCCAGAAACAAAATGATTACGGAATGACGGACGGACGAGGCATCGACTATATCCCCCCGCATTACATGCCGGGGTGATAAAAAACCTAGTTGCACCAGCCAAATTCCAGTTGCACTCTTTTTATTGCAATGTGTAATGAAAGAGATATGCTCTTGCACTGTTTAGATTATTTAGATGTTTTATTCAGAAGTTTACCCACTCAAACATTTACTTGCACCTGGTGCAAGTTAGGATAATAACTAGGTTGCACTTTTGTAGTATTGGGTTGCACCAGTGCAAGTAACAAAGCACTAAATCGAGCCCTGCAATGCTGCATGTCCTCTCTTAGGTGTCCAGGGTTGAGATAAACCAAGGACTTACTTTCTTTGGATTTGGGTGGCAACACAGAGGTAAATGTGCAAGCATTTCCTGATATGAAAACTCGTCTCTCTCTGTAGCCTGTATCACACCATCCAGGACCAGGACGTTGCCATACGTCTTACTGAAATACACAAAAAAAATACAATTTCATAATTCACACATCCAGACATTGGAACTTTTGTCTGTAGTATGTTCCAAAACCAGTCGAAATCGACTGTCCCAAACATGGTTCATCTTATCATTTTTTGCAGATCTAGTGTTTTCATTTGGGTCAGTTAATAAGTATTATTTTATAACACTGTAGCCCATGTCAAAGCAATATCACTGAGGGGACCAGAAATGCTGTTCACAGTGTTTATTTCTTAGTTTGCTGCCCCTCGGGGTTCGAAATTAACACTTTGAGTTAGCAAATTTCCTATTCTAAATACTATTTTGCTACCTGGAAACAACTTGCTACCTGGTATTTTTTAGTGAAACTGCTTTCGTTCATCAATTAATGATCATTTTTAAAGGATAGATTTCCACTTGTGCACTTTCACTTGTAAACTTACCGATACTGGTATTTTAATTTCCCATATAATGGGGTTTTGTTGGTCACTAACGCATGGGTTAAACATGCAGGCCCACAGACTTTAAGAGAATTTGATCCTAGACCAGTAGTGACGAGGTGGTGGTTGAGTGGAGAGAGGGCCAGGGTGCCGTTGTACAAAACAACCTTAGTGCTAAGGCTACCTTAAGTCTATGTTGAGGTATGGGAGTTACGGTCACCTTAGCGCTAAGATCGCTTTGTACAACAGCACCCTGGAGACCAAATACAGTTCTGTATGGTTAAAGACAGTAATATGGGACTGGGTACGGACTGGGAGGGATGGAGGGATTAACAGCAATATGAAAGAAAGCTGCTACCAGGTAAGGGATTTTGCTACCTATTTTTGAACCAGGTAGCAAGTTCTTGCTACTTTCTAAAAAGAGTTAATTTCGAAAACTGGCAACACTCAGCAATATTCCAGCCATATGATGATAGTCTGGAAATAACTGATTCTGGACCAGACAATCCAATGACTGACATCATGAACATTGATCTATGCAATTAGGACATGATGACATTTCAACCAAGTCAGAGTACTGACCACCTGATCCCATTAATCACCTTTCACGCCAAGCATGGGTCACTGAAGATCAAACTCATATCTCATGGTGTACCCTTTTAGGTAATGGGACCCAAGTCTTTAGCATAACGAATGAACACTTTGAGTATTAGGTTACCCATAAGCCCTCCTATTTTGATATGGATTATTTATAAGCTGAGCTAACTAGACCCAACAGTTTTTCCAGACTTCATGACTGTGTCCGAGTATCCATATCATAAAAGGGGCATTGATCTAAAGCAAAACACCCGGGACTGGTTGCTGCTTTTGTTATAGTCATTTTTTTTTATCTGTGGGTACTTGGATGATATGACACGAAGGGCTAAAATGGATTGCATTGAATTGGCATAATGGGCTATCACTGACAAAATCTGCAAATAAATAACATAAATAATGATTTGATATAGAAATCTATCAATATTTCATCACAAGGCATTGTAACAACATGATATGGTATTCTTGAAGACATTCTTGAAGACATTTTTGAAGATATTCCCAGGTGCCCACCTGGTGCTACTACAGCAAAAAAAGGTAAAAAAAAAAGAGATAAAACTGACCCACCTACCCTATTTTTAAAAAGCATGTAATAGGAAGCGGACATATATTTTTTTGGGTCCAATCAATCTTGCTTTGAAAACCAATTGGTCCATGCATATATCTCTAGCACATATGGTTTATGTGGGGTTTTTTTCAGACTGATATGATATGATTGGTGAGTGAGTGAGAGAGTGAGTGAGTAAGTGAGTGAGTGAGTTTAGTTTTACGCTGCTGTTAGCAATATTCCAGCAATATCACGACAGGGGGACACCAGAAATGGGCTTCACACATTGTGCCCATGTGTGACTGTGAATCGAACCCCGGGTCTTCGGCGTGAGGAGCGAATGCTTTAACCACTAGCCTACCCCACCACCCACATACGCACTTGGTACTAATTCTAAAAATATGTCATGAAGAATTCAACAAAACTGATAGCAATGGATGAAAATTGCAACATTTCTTACATTACCTTGATGCATATAAATTTTAACAATTATATATCAAGCTGAATATATATTATGAGTGGCATCTGATCAGGTTTAAAAGAGGCGTGTAAATAAAGTGGTCCTTGTAGTTTTAACTAGTTCGATCAGTGTTTCCCTCAATTCACAAACATCAAATCACATATTTTAAAAATGGGGTTTGGTAAATTTGGTTTTACACCGCTTTTAGCAATATTCCAGCACAATCACGACGGCACAAGCATGACTTATCACTGCCATGTCACATCATGGGTTAAGCAGCTATAGATAAGATCGAATGGCCTGGTATTAAGTGGGGACCTAGTGGTAACGATTGGAAAATCGTTTTTTTCTAGTTCGCCCCTCGTTTAAATTTGTAGCTTCATTATGTCTTGGTTGTCACTTATAATATTCAAACAATTCCCATTTCACTGGCACTGCTGAGGATTCATGCAAGAAAGCAATCGATCTACTAACACCCGTTCTGTAAACAAACCTTTTAAAAACCAAGACATCCTGATATTTTGACTTTTCATGGAAAAGAACTTTCTCCACTTGAAGAGACATGCATTGTCCGGGCCACAGCTCGCTCAATTCGCTAAACCATCCGTCTTTTAAATGATCCATATGTGCAGTGTGGATTTGTTCCAAATATTGGCCTCGTGGTTCACACAGGAAAAACACGTGTGTAAGAAACAGAGTTACTTCCCTTTGTTATAGCTTTACGTTAGCTCCTCCCCAGCGCGTAACACTTTCGTACCATTTTAAATATAGAGAGCTCAGAGGGCTATCGCTGCGAGGAGCTGAACTCTCTTCACGAATGCTGCCCGCGTTTTAGCTTCGTTCGACTGACTGACTGACTGAGTTTGGTTTTACGCCGCTTTTAGCGGGGGACACCAGAAATGGGCTTTACACATTGTGCCCATGTGGGGATTCGAACCCGGGTCTTCGGCGTGACGAGCCAACGCTTTAACCATTAGGCTACCCCACCGCCCCTTAGCTTCGTTCGAACTTCAAGCGACCCGTGAAGGTCCGGGTTAAAATTGGCCTTCACCAACCCATGCGTATCGTAAGAGGTGACTAACAGGATCGGGTGGTCAGGCTCGCAGACTTGGTTGAGGCCATATATATACCGGTATATGGTCTCTAGTTGACCCATAACATCGTATCTCGCGTAGGTCGATCGATGCTCTTGCTGTTGGTCACTGGATTGTCTGGACCCTGTAGCAGGGTAAGGGGTGGTACTGTTCAATGAAGACCAACGCCTGCTGGGGTGTGAGTTGTGACTTGTGCGACTTCTTTATTTCTCAAATATATAGTTGTTGTTTTTCACCCTGTAACATAATAACAATAATCAATAAAACAGTCATATCACATATGTACTAATATAGTAGATTACACATAAAAGTTACAATTACTGATAATGGTCATATATACCTATCACAATATATTCAAAAGGATAAAACACCTACCAAATATATGGTACTCAGGTGATATTACATTGTCCATCTTAGTGACCGTTACAGGAAGGACATGTGTCACTACTGGTGATACATTTATTCGATTTTGTTGTAAAATCCTGATATGTTTAAGGTTGCATTTATATGTTTTCTAGCATTACAGTTATTGTAGTTCCAATAAATAAAAGTCAAATTCTTCTTCACAACATGTGACTTTGGTGAATTTGTCAACATCCAATTCCTGCATATTCTGATATTGACTCTTATATCAAATTTCACTTACTTGTCTAGCTCAGGGGGTTATTTGCATTTGTCTCCAGCAGTTCAATAAACTACACACATAATTGAGATGGAAAATACATATAAAGGCCCACATTAATTTCTACATCATCATATTTCGTCCTTGGAATTGCGACAAAGTCAGTGATTGATTGTTGCTAACATACTGCAACAATATACAAACACTACGTACTATCAGATGGGTACTAAAGCTAGTTAGTAAAGAAGTTAGTGGTTTAATTGTACATGTACTTTTACTTGATTTTCTACCAAATATAAAGACTGTTACAGGAATGACATAACCGTTACAGCAGGGACAAGAAATGTTACAGGGGTGACATTTTAAGCCCAAAACACAGAATACATATAAATGCAAACATGAACAAACTTTGGCACATAACGATCTTGGAATGTAAGAGAAAACATATTTACACCGCCTTGTCCTGGTAAAGATATGCAATTACACAGAGGTATTCTTGGCAATTTTTAATGTGGATGTTACGGGAAGGACCTCCAGGTGTTACGGGGAGGACAATTTAAACGCCAAAAGGCTGATTATTTCAAAATGCAAAATATGAACAAACTTTGGCACATAATTACTTTGGAATGTAAGAGAAAACATATTTACACAGCCTTGTCCTGGTAAAGATATGCAATTACACAGAGGTATTCTTGGCAATTTTAATGTAATGTGGATGTTACGGGAGGGAAGGACCTCCAGGTGTTACTGGTAAAGATATGGGGAGGACAATTTAAACGCCAAAAGGCTGATTATTTCAAAATGCAAAATATGAACAAACTTTGGCACATAATTACTTTGGAATGTAAGAGAAAACATATTTACACAGCCTTGTCCTGGTAAAGATATGCAATTACACAGAGGTATTCTTGGCAATTTTTAATGTGGATGTTACGGGAAGGACTTCCAGGCGTTACGGGGAGGACAATTTAAACGCCAAAAGGCTGATTATTTCAAAATGCAATCATGAACAAACTTTGGCACATAACGACTTTGGAATGTAAGAGAAAACATTTACACAGCCTTGTCCTGGTAAAGATATGCAATTACACAGAGGTATTCTTGGCAATTTTTAATGTGGATGTTACGGGAAGGACCTCCAGGTGTTACGGGGAGGGCAATTTAAATGCCAAAAGGCTGATTATTTCAAATGCAAACATGAACAACCTTTGGCACATAACGACTTTGGAATGTAAGAGAAAACATATTTACACAGCCTTGTCCTGGTAAAGATATTCAATTACACAGAAGTATTCTTGGCAATATTTAATGTGGATGTTACGGGAAGGACTTCCAGGCATAGTGTGCACATTCCAGGTGTAAAACTCTGTGAATGCAAGAAAGCATTCTTTTTTTTTATTTGGCACATAGCGTGATTGAAATAAAACCAGTTTGTTTAATGCCTTTGTAGATGCAAATATAATATGCTAGTGATGACGAAACATCACGTACGTGTTAAAGGAAGGACATACAGGTATAGATGTCTTTCACTCACATCCAAATGCAAGTTAATTCTGATTTTATGTCAATGCTATTCTACAGTATTATAAAGTAAACAATCAAAACTCATAAATGATGACACACATGTGAAAATGGAATACAAAGGTTACTCTATAACATCTCTGCTTATCTAAGACCCCAATCTAAGAATACAGGTTTCATTTTTCACTGAAGTACAGGGGTGTTGTTTCTGTCTTTTCAAGTCTGAGCTTTTATCCGAGTTTATGCATAGAGATTCTTCACAGATTCTGTTCCACACACTGTACTGCATATAACCATGTATCATTGTCAACTTCAAACTGCGATGAACCAGGAATCTGTGTGGGCTTTGGGATGATAGCAATCACATCACTGTGGTCATACCAGCATCTGTCAAGCAATTTTTTGGGCCAGTAGAAGCAGTTGGCAAATATTTTGCTGGTTTTATGCATGCATTCCACCAAAACATCGTCCACCCCAGCATCAAGCACTACCCCAGGGTATGGGATGTCATCATATCTTACAATTACATATTTGCCAATGAGTTTTGCAGGTGCAGGAACATCCATTTTGGTTTCTTCTATCAGATTTTCACAGTCTGCAACAGATGGTTCGCATTCACCATCTTCTCTCATTTCTGCACAATCCTTCTCCTGTTTCATGTCAGTGCTGTCCATTTCTGTTTCACCCGCCTGTTTCATTGTGTCCATTTCTGTCTTGCCCACCTGATTCACGCTGTCCATTTCTGTTTCACCCGCCTGTTTCATGCTGTCCATTTCTGTCTTGCCCACCTGTTTCATGCTGTCCATTTCTGTCTTGCCCACCTGTTTCATGCTGTCCATTTCTGTCTTGCCCACCTGTTTCATGCTGTCCATTTCTGTCTTGCCCACCTGTTTCATGCTGTCCATTTCTACCCTTTCCATCTGTTTTATGTCAGTGTTGTCCATGTCCATGCACATTTCTAGAGTGACTGGCAGAGCTGGTACAAAGTGATTTGGAATCCAGTGTCTTTCATTCATGTCTAATCTTGTACTGGTCCACATGATGTAAATCGGTTTTGAAGAAACAGGGCTGTTCTCTCGAGGTCTTGGCATGATCAAACGATGCAAGTCTTTTCTCACATTTGGATTACCAAGATTCGGGTACACTGAGAATATTGGAGTGTTAAGAACACTTGCTAGCCCATGAAGCTGCCATATGCCCATGAATGTTTTGTTCAGACGCACCTTGAGAGTTTCTAGGCGGAAAATATCCTGAATTAGCTTCTCAGTAAGAGACATCCCAGGAATAAACATGTCTGAATATTGTGCATATATCTTTGGCAGATGGTGTCTTGTTTTCTCCTTCAGGCCCCTTTGCAAACTGTCATTGCATAGATAAAACTCTTCATTGAGGACAAGTTCAGTGACAAGGCGTACTCGCAACTCCGATGTTTTATGAATTGAGCCAAATGCATACACACTCCCACAGGATGGTAGGCAGTTGCCATCTGCCAACACTTTGCAGGGAAAAAGTGCTTTGTCATGGTCCAAATCTGATGGAAGAATGTCAATGGAATCTTGATCAACTTCCAAGAAATGGGAGGTAATGCTAACCTCTTGTAGGGGACCTGTTATCTGTTCAATGTTTTGAGAAATCGATTCACACAGTTTCTTCAGGTTGTTAATGGTCTTACACTTCTTTAGTTCTTCCATGTATTGACAGTACATGTGTGTCACTTCTGCTTTGTCAACATCTGAAGTTTGGCGTGTATTTGCAGTGTCTTCTTCTTTGGTTATGTCTTTTGCCTTCTCTTGTTTTCTCCTCATTTTTGTTCTTCCTTTCATTTTCGCGACTTCTTGCTCTGGTGGTTTTTGATGCAGTTTTGCATTGCACAGTTCATGTCCTTTACAAATGTTTTGAGATTGGCATGTGCAGCTTACGTCACGATATGATATAGCACCATGCAATGTTGCAAAGACCTGGTGGATTTTCATGGTTCCTGGAATTGACTTCAGTTGAATCCGGTCAGCATTATTCATTTCCTGTGTGATGTGGTCATCAGGTACCAAATACATATCCGTTTCACTGTTCATCAATATGTTCAAAACATCCTGTGCACAAGAAATATTTTTGCCAAATTTTACTTGTCTATCAGCACATCTTTTAACAGAACCACCGACAGCATCAGGAACACCCTTTCCGTGTCCTGCTTCTAGAAAGTTCCACACTACTGCTGTGTACCCCAGTTTATACGGCTCTGTTGAGAGGAGGTAAAAGTTGCCTTTTTGCTTATACTGAGCTGCGGGGCCATCACTGATTATTTCAAGCTTGTCTATGGCTGGGTGTTTCTCTCTGATGTTCCGAAGAACAGGTTTCAGGTGTCCCCATACACCCCCCGGACCATGGTTCAAGTTCTCAGATACTGTGCAGAAGGTTTGGGGTTTACAAGATTTGGTATAGATGACTCCGGTATGCAATGACAGTTGCTTCTTTGAAGCACCAAAGTGCATGCTCT